GTGATTTTCGACGCAGAAGTCATCAGGCTCTGAATTGGATCGTTGCTGTCTAATAGACCCAGGACCCATTCTGCATTGAACCGCGGTTTGTCTCCAAGTGCAAGAACCTCAACATACTGTGGCACAATTGTTAGTTTTTGATTGACTTTTGATGAAGAGGAGGATATACCGTATGGGTGTAGGCAAACTTGAATAAATCACGGCCTTGCCGATTACCAAATTGATCCTGCCCTCGCAACTTCATTAGCAGCTCAAAGCCAGCCCTATGCGAGCTGAACAGTCCGTTCCGTTCACCCGCAATATCCTCATAGAGCGAGAGAAGAACCACAACCGCAAAGGTCTCGTCTTTGACCGCTTGCGTGGGCGACGACAATATTTGCCGGAGACCACGCAGAGCTTTTCCATAGCCCTGCCGCGCCTTGATCGTTAATGGGGCGGCATCTGTTGCATTCGCGAGAGCCACCAGCGCCGTAGAATCCATCGCCCAGCGCAAACACTCAGATGCCAAGGTGTCACGGTTGCCCACCTCGCCACAACGGGCGTACAATGCAGGCAGAAAATCAAGATGGCTCATGCCTTCATTTTCGTCATCACCGATGGTGTACTGATCAAAGAAATAGCACACGGCGCGCTGCTCCCACGTCGCGTCCGCGACGGAGTACAGGCTCAGCGATGGGTCAGCCCCGGTTGGGCTGCGGCTAGGTTTGTGTTGGGGTACAAGAGCCCCAGTCTGCTGGCTTATTACTGGCTTCTGGTTCCCGATTTGGCTTTGGCTACTGCCCGCCGAGGAGCTTCCCGATTTTTTGACTAGTTGCTCAACTTTCTGGGTCTCGTTGCGGAAGACCGCATCGGGCCGGTATCCAGGGCATGGACGCCCATAGATATTGCAATTCCGACACCCAGGGAGTGCTTCATCGCACTTGGAGGATGATCAGTAACACAAAACTAATGCTCGACATGTGGGCCGGCTCTGTACCTTGATCTTCCGCTTGCGACACAAGTAACATCCGGTGCTTGGTTTCCCCCCATAGACCATGTTCACACCGCGCGGCTACTTCCAGGCAATTCTCGAAACGCAAGTAACCAAGATCCTAGACCCTGGAGGTTACACGCAGCAGAAAAGGCGCCGCTACCTGGCTGTTATCAGTTGGAGAATGATCTGATCACCTCGACTGCCTGGTCCGAGCGGGGCGCAAGTACATCATAGACGGGGATGTGTTTTGACTCGCTGGGTGAATGCGAGTTACATTCAGCGATGCTCATGCAGACTTGCTCTGTCGCTTTGTGTTTCGGCTGAGGAATAGGGAGATAGATAGTGACTCGCCGTCAACTGATGATTTTCATTCGCTTAGTCATCTGAAAGAGACCATGGGATGAAACAGAGGCGGAGAGGTCGTCTGAAAGCGTGAAAGGGGATTCGAGGATCTACTTTACTGGATTGAGATAAGGGGAATGCATTCGTCTTGCCTTTCCAAGGGACTAAATCCATATCCACGTCCTAGATGACAATATATCGGACAACCCAATGGGGACAAAAAGGTATCACCTGAGAAACAAAAACACTCCGAAATGACATTCTCAACAGGGGAAACTCCACAGATAGAGACGACTTTGGAACCTGCCCTGCTTGTCCGGATGGAAGAACCAGACAACATGGCGGCGAGACGGGGTCGCCTTTGCATCAACACCAGATATGCAACCGCTTGGTGCTCTAAGCAGAAGGAAATAACAAGAAAGAAAAAGAACATCGGATGCTCATTCTGATCAATGTCCCCAGCAAACAACAAAATGGGGTGGGAATAGTGATATGATGTACGATATGAAAGTAAGGTCATGAGAAAGATGATATGATGTTCAAGAAATCAAGAAGATGGCGCATCCGGCATCGGCTGATCATCGCCATCATTAGCCGGAGAAATCGACGGTGGAGGGTCTGAGAAAACCGTTCGTTGCCGGGCCTGGTTGAGGACGAGTTCGGCAGTGTCGTCAGCGGAAGAGGAGCCTAGGCCTGGAGTACTAGAGGCGCTATCGACCACCGCGGTATCGTCGTCGTTGTGTTCTGGGGGTGGAGAAAACGACCACACCTGGAAGTGATTATCAGCAAGACTATCGAAAACTAATGAAACTTTAAAAACTTACCTCCATGACCGTGCGGCCAGACCGGTTCGCCAGGATCACCGCTTTTTCCTCCTCGAAGGCAACCCGCCAGACCGCCTCGGCTGGGGTGGAGAGCTCGCGCAGGAGCTGGCCAGTCTGCAGGTTCCACACTTTCACGCGACCATCACTGCCACCGCTGACGATCCGGGTGTGGTCGAACTGAAGACTAGTGACGCTATTGTCGTGCGCAGCTAGTCGATGGATCGGCGCCATCTTGGTGAGCGACCACACGCGGACAGAGCCGTCCGAACCACCGGTCACCAGCGTATCCCCGCGCATCTGTATTTGCCCGACCAGCGAAGTGTGGCCCTGGAGGATGGCATGGCATTGTCCGGAATGCGGGTCCCAGATACGGACGCTAGTATCCAAACTGCCTGTCGCAATGCGGCGACCGTCAAAGGTGATGGCGTAGATCTGGCTGAAATGGCCGGACAGCGTGCGCAGACAACGGCCCTGGGAAATGCTCCATATCCGTGCAGTCGTATCGTAGCTGCCGGAGACCACCAGGTCCCCATGAATCGCGAGACATCGGACGCTGGCCTGGTGCCCGACCAGGACGTTCCGACAGGTCCCCGTCGCCAAGTCCCAGATGCGCAGCGTCGTATCTCGAGACCCTGAGATGGCCGTATTCCGATCGGACATTTTCAAACACCGCACGGTTGACGTGTGGCCACGGAGTAGGTGGATACCCGCCCTGCTGGATGTTAATGACCCATCACTCAATATTTAGGGGGCAACCTACCCTGTTGCCATATTCCACACCCGCACTTCACGATCGCAGCCGCCGCTGACCAGAATATCGTCCCATGGAACCATCGCCCAGACGCCCATCACGTGGCCCTGGAGGGTTTTCTGGTTGTCGCCATTGGTATCGTATACATGGATCTTTGCATTATCCAGGGCGACCACAATATACTTGGAGGTGAGATGTAGACTGGTCACCACACCCTGGTCGGGAGTGATATGGCGCTGGGTGCACCGGCCACCTTTATTCCAAGCCGACTCGACCATGTACTTTTGCTTAAACTGCGACCGGTAAGAGACCGGGCGAGCTCGCCGTCTCCGAGAGGGAAAGCTGGTGGGGAGCCATTCGCCCGAGAGCGTGCGCGGAAGATCCAGAGGTTTCTCTGGGGACTGTCCGGTGGCTTCCTGCATATCCTCCAGCGCAGAGGTGCTAGAGCTTAAGTCTGGCTGGGAGAAGAATGGATCTGCCATGTCGCCGTCTTCCTCCGCTATCCGTCGCACCGAGTAGGCATGTTTTTCGCAGAGATTCTTCCAGGTGATATCGTCGTTTAATAGCTCTCGCCAGCGTCTTGATACTTGCGATGCTCTTGCCAGGGCCTTCGGGTCATCGATGAAGGATAAGACCTATCGAGTTAAGGGGTTAGCTTTCTGTGTCATCCCTCTCGCCCAAAAACTCATCACAAGACATACCCTCAAGCACAGTTCATTGGGAAATACTTGAAACGGGTCCTTTCTCAGCCGAGGTCCAACATAACTTGAGACGAAACTCAGTTGTTGGCTATCGCAGACATCCAATAACCCCTCGAGGAGTTTTTGCTTGCGGGCGTTGGACAGAGTACTGAAATGCAAGCGGAGATTTAATAGAAAAGTAGTTTCTTCCTCGTCGGGGGAGGGCCAAGTATGCGATCGCTGATGGGGGGTCGGGGATGGAGCGGGCGTCGGAGGAGAAGCGGGAGCCGAGGGGAGGAGGTTGGCCGGTAATGAAGTGATGTTTTTCTTGGTGGTGCTGAGTGATCGCGAGTGTGTGCTGGTGAAACTGGAGGCGGAGTTCCGGTTGGGGGTAGGCTGGGGATGAGTGTCGAGTTGGTCCGACGGAGACGGTGTCTGCGGGTTCATCGACTCGTCCACCCCCATGTCACTGAAGGAGGCGTGTTGGGAGTCCATGAGTGCGACCGAACAAAGCGCCCTTACTGGCGCTGTATATCTTTCTTTCCCACTGGGATCGGGGGCCACACTCAGAGGCTAGTCGCACCGAGGGTCGACATAGAGCTGTGGGCGGGAATAATGGGGGACGGGGGGGCGGGTGAGGTAAGTGGTGGATTTGCGTAGTAAGTATCCGGCGGCTAAAGAAAAAGAGGCTGGTCGATGAGGGAAGTGGGAATTTTGGGGGTGATATAAGAATAAGAAGAAGCAAAAAAAAAAAAAGGAAGCGCACGACAACGCCTCTGGTCAGGCAGGCTGGGCGTGTCTCAGATAGTTAAGTTAGTAGAGTAACGGGGAGAGAGCGAGAGTGAGAGAGAATCGAAAGTCGTGACCGCTTTGATTTGGATACCTGACAAAGCACATCTCCACTCCTCGTGATAGATCCGATCAGTTGCATCTTGTGCCTGCAGAGAGGCAACCGGGATCGAATGGCAATAATAGGAGACGATGTGTGTGGCTGCCTCTGCCTCGTGAATCTGTCGTAGCTATCCTTTTTTGGAGTTGTCAGATACAGTTGCCCCATGTCCCTGGGTAGGCTATCGGCACGCTACTACCGACCATGGGTCGGGCCAGATGATGCAACCTGACGAATGCTTTCATCAGAGCTAGCTTCATGTGCTGGGGGCAACCCGCCTTTATATAGTACCGGCAGTGACGCTACATAGATGTGATCGTGAGATACGCGGTATGCAATAATGACCAACACTTATACAAGACCAGATCTAGTAGTTGCACATTGTCATCCACTCCGCCAAAACCATCATCCAAAAAAGAAAAGTGTCCAACAGACGCCAATGATAGGTATAGCCTCCCAGTATGTTGGACAACAGGCAAAAGTAGTACATGTGTGGAAGAGTTGCCTCCCAAGGCAAAAATGCATAAATGTAGAACGGAGTTTAATGGGCATGGCCGATCTGCAGGAACAGCGGCAGGATCATGCCCAGCACGGAGCCGATCAAGTCTCGCATGGACTTGTCCGACCCATTCTGGACATCGCGGGTGTCGCCATATCCGTTAACAGGCAACTCGCGCGGCTGGGAGCCGGGTCCATTCTCCTGCATCGTGTGCATAGCCACATATCTGCGACAGAACCATCAGTAAAAAAAATTAGAAGAAAACAGAACCCACTTACAAAAAGGTGCCAGCGGAAAACAGCAGGAGCATTCCAGTCCGCCACTGAGAGCCAGCCTCGTCGCCGCTGGAAGAGCCCACAGCCTGCACAAAGATAAACGTCGCCAGAGCGCCGATAGGAGCCGCCAGACTGAAGACCAACAGATGCGCTCGCGCAGTCCGACTCGACAGCCCTTGCCTGAGCAGGATCGACGTCAATCCAAAGGACGCCGGGGCCTTGTGCACCATGATCGCCAAGAAGATGATGAAGCTCAGGCCGGTGTCGGAGGTGGATGCGCCCAGCGCAATCCCATCTGCGGCGGCATGGATCACCAGGCCGGTAGTAGTTGCAAAGCTGTGGCCGCGCCGGGAGCTCGAGGAGCCCTGGTCCAGCAGGCCTCCTCCGTCGCGAGAAGGAGACGAGTTTCGCCGCAGTCCCGAGCCCAGGTTATCCAGCGAAATATGGTAGCGCGGTCGCTCAGCTTTGGTTGGTGATGCAAACTCGGGAAGTTTATCGATCAGGTACATCAGAATGAAGCCGCTGATGAGGGCGATGCCGATCCAGGCATGAGGCGAGCTCTCGTCTTCGTGGTGGTCGCTCGACGTCTCTGTCGTGGACTTTTCGCTCGACTCATCTGCCCGTGCATGTATTTGCGGTTCATCGACAATAACGGCCGGCTGCTCGATGTGATCATCCAGGGAGAAAGCTGGGATCAATTGTCGCCCGTTCAAGGCGGGTGTATCTGCGACTTGCGGGATGGCCTGGTGCATCCATTGGACGGGGGTTGAGCGAGTGCTGATGGATTTCTGGCTGATGGAGCGTGCGTTGTAAAGAGTCTCGACGCCCTCGGGGATGATGACAATCAAGGAGGTCCCCACCAACACACCCATACCAATGGAGGAGATGAGGCGCAGCTGAGACGGGGAAAGGGTAAAGGCAAGAGGGAGTGAGCCGACGACGAAGGACCTGGTAAGGCGTTAGTTTCATGTTGTCGCGACCGCAGGAAGGGACACGCACGTCACGGCCATCACAATGCCCAGGGCGAGCAGAGTGAAAAGGCCCTCCATGATTGGCAGCTGGCAGTCCCTTCACACTTGACTCCAGCTCTAGCAGGATCCAAGCATGGCGCGCAGCCACAGAGAAAGACAGGAAGGGAGGAAGGCAGTGAGAGGTGGTAAGTAGGAGGCCAGTTGGAAAAGTGGCAGTTTTGGCCCGATGGACCCACGCGACCATCACCGCCTACACAGATTCTACAAATCGAACCATATTATTTGACGGAGGAAGCGGGTCAAATATCGGCCACTCATTTCCTAATGGTGTAATGCGGGAATGTGGTCAAAACCATGAAGATAGAAGATGTCTGACATTCTAAATATAATCTGGCCATCTCTTTTATAGTACAGAACGTATAATAAACATAATCAACGCACGCCAAGAATGTCAAAAAAACAAAAGCAGTTTATTGCTGTACAATCCTTTTATCCGTGGGCCCTCCATGGGCCCTCCATGGGCGCCATTCCGACATTGTTTCATAGAGACGAACTAGGAGTCCTATGTACTATTTTATCGCGCCGACTTGGGCAGTCGGAACCCCAGGTACGGCAGATACTTGCCCGGGTGCCAGTAGATGAACAGCGCCACGCAAGGATAGATGGTCAGCGCATCGAACACATACTGCGTCCATTCATGCGTGTTGATATACCCCGTCACGCCCATGGTAAACTCGACCAGCCGGTAGATGGAGCGGATCTGCAAATCAGTTAGTGTCCGATTTAAATGGGGACCAGGTTACACACCAGAATCAAGAACGAGGTAAAATTGACCACCCGCAGCAGCGCCGGCCAGTGCTTATCCCTCGTCCGACCATCAATCAGATACTCCTTCTCCCCGACGCTCTCGTAGCGTTCACCCAGGGACTTGTTGAAGCGCTTCGAGGTGAAATTGAATCGAACGGCCGCGACGCTGAAGAGTCCAAACGCCACCAATTGAATAACCACACCCACCTGCGCAACCCGTTTCCCCGTATTGAGCCTGTGAGCCGCATGAGTATCGGTCGGGCTGACCGAGGCGATCATGACTGCGCCAACCAGTTGCAGCAGAAGCGCCAAGATATCAAACCCCACGAAGATCGGGGTGATGAACCGCGGAGGCACCCAGCAGAGTCGCAACGTGCGCGATTCGCTCGGGACCACCAAGAACAAAATCCGGCCGAAGACAATGTAGCAACAGGCGGCGATCAGGACGGGCGCCAGGATGATAAGCGCGAACTGCACCACGTAGACTTCTCTCTTTGTCACGTTCTCCACAGAGATACAACGGCTGATATAGCCCACGGCCTCCACTGGGGTGAACGTTAGGAGACAACTGAATGAAGGTGATAGAAAGGCTTACTGGCTGAAGCAATGACCATCACCACCCACACCCATGCCCTATAGCGAACCCACTGAACCAGAGTCAAAATGAACGCAATGCCATACAAAACCGCAGCCACAATCGCTACCGCCAGGGACGGGTTGTATCGATAGTATGAGGCATCGTGGGTGCTCTGGATCGGATGCATCATAGGGGATAGGTATATTTGGTGATGAGACCGAGAGGAGAATAATCGAATCGGTAGTGGCTAGGATAGTCTGACGCGGCTCTTAAATATTTCTAGCTGCCTTGAACAAGTCGCCCTTAATTAACAAATGGTGGCGCAGTTAGAAAAGGTGTCCACGCTAAACGACGAACTAAACACCCCATTCGGAATGGGTTCCAGACATGGCCAATCAAGGCCTGAGATCCACAACCTCGCCATCTATACCAACATCGGGATGGACTTCGTTGGTAACACTGGGTACAACATGTAAGCTGGTAGGAATATACCCTCAAGAAATTGTGCGGACAATAATACTAGGAAGGATAGACACCAATGACGTTATCATTCTCTATCCTCAAGCCATTCCCGCCAACGCAGTCCGCACTCTCTGAGGCGGTATCGAGCAGTCGAGCCCGAATGGCTGCCGGGACTGGCTAGGACAGTATAGAGACAATGTTGAGGTTAGGGTCGTGCAAATGGTTGCCACTGTCAATCAAGTCAATCGGATTGTCAGTGGGTGCACCGCGTAGTTTATAATACTGCTGGTCGGAGCTTGCTCTATGAACAATGTGACCAAATGTCTTGGACCACAGTGTGGAGTAGGGCATGGTATTATTCTAGTCAGCTCATTGGATTTTTATCTCATAGTGATAGCTGGTTGACAGATAAAAGGATCCAAGCCTAAACGACGAAAAACATACCCCATCCGGAACGGTTCTAATGTCCATCCAATCAGACTTCAAAGTCGCCAACGTCACCTGGTCCACTATGCGATTGACAACCCACGAGTTACATACCCCCTTTGGCGTCAGCCGATTATGACGGCAACTTTTCAGAAGCGCATACCATGCCCTTTTCCGGCCGCCCCAGCGCTGGCTGCTTGAGCTGTCGAGAGCGTAGAATCAAGGCAAGGATGTAGCAATGGTTGACTCGCCTAAACCGCGCTGACTAGGTCTAGTGTGACCAGCTCCAACCGAAATGCACGCAATGCAAGCGAGGAGGCAAGCAATGCGGCGGGTACCGCGATGTAGAGTCTCTACTATTCCGCGATGAAACCGCCAAAACGCAGCGCCGGTCCGCAGCGACGAAACCGCGCAGGAATAAGATCGCCTCGAGCAGCTCATCATCATCATCACCACCCACAAATCCTTCCGCATCAGAGCTAGTATTGCAGCCCCTTCCAAATCGGGTGTCTGCCATCCAGCAGTTGTGCAGCGTTCTTACCTCGGTCCCTGATTCGATTTCGGTAAGCCCAGAGGAGCTGGGGCTGCGCTTCTTCTTCGATACCTTTGTCACTACGGCCTTCATAAACGCCAATAATAGGAGCGCTCGGACCTCGAAGAATCCTGTATTTTTAGGCGGCTTGCCTCTTGATCCGTCGTTTCGAGATTCGCTGGTGGCGGTTGGCCTATATGCCATGGCCAATGTTAAGCGTGACAGAGCCTTGCGAACAGTGGCGCGGGAAAAATACATCTCAGCCATTCATTACATCCGATCCGTAGTGATGAATCCTGCCCAGGCAAATACCGAGCAGGCGCTCAAGATTTTGGTGATGCTGGGTTTGTATGAGGTACAGTGCATATGCCCTTCACTAGTTAAGATACATGCTAACCGAGTCATGTAGATGGTCAGTTGTGGCGCTGATCAATTCGATTCCTGGACTGTGCACTTGGACGGCGCCACTGCCCTTATAGCGCAATCTACGTTTGGTCAGAACCTTAACCTAATAGACCATAAGGCGCTCCTGCAGTTCTCCTATGTGTCTATAGTCAAATATTTCCAGGACCCAGGCAAGATCCCTGCGTATCTGGTGCACTGGTCTCCCGATTCGATCACGGCTCCCCCGGAGGATCAACCGGCCGTGCGTCTCGCTGACATCCTGGTGAGGTTTGTGAAATGGCATTTTTCAATATACAGTGGACCAGAACTGCACGATGATTGTGTGACCGGTGCCGCTTTATGTTTCGAGGCCGAGCTAGATGAGTGGGAGAAGAGCGTCTCGGACAAGTTCTCATTTGAGGTTCACGAGTCCGACAAGGTCCAGGGAACGTTCTACGGAAAGTACCATGCCTACAAAGACACATGGGCTTTTCGAATCCTTAACCATTTCCGCTGGGGCCGCATGCTGGTCAACCGAACCATCCTCGCGCATAGCTTGCGACTACAATACCCCACAGCAGCGGACCTAGCTCAGCGCCAGCACTCACTAAATACAATCTCCCGCATGGCAATCGACATCTGCACCGGTGCCGCGGGCCAAATTGCACTTTTCGATCAAGGGATCAATACGGGGGACCCGTCGAGTGATTTACCGCTAAACGGAGTCTTTATGCTTCTATTCCCGTTGGCTGTGGCTGGAGGGGCAGAAGGGGCTCCGGATTCGGTGCGCAGGTGGGTGATGGAGACATTGGAACACATTGGGCGAACCATGGGCATCCAGCGGGCTCTGGAGCTAAAAAAGCGGCTTCGTGCGAGCTGCGGAGTGGATGAGTGGCAGAGAGGCTTGATGGATCGTCAACGTCTTGCACGTACTGCTTAGACGTTTATACGTAAGACATATTTAGAATCAATGATACTCATTGACAGTCATATACCCAACAATGTATGATATTTTGTTTCGCCGCAGAGTAGAATAGTATTACTCCCAAAATGTTGAGGCAATATGGCTTGTCCTACTGGTTAACTAGTTTCGTTGACTTAATTACAGTGGAAGCCGCCGAGTATTAAGTAATGATGCGCGGCGCGTCTGACCGCGCCGCGCTCACTCCCTTGCCGTAGTTCCAAGTCTCCCTGCCATCTATCATCCCCAACACACCATCTCGCCCACAATGGCGAGCGAAGAGGATTGTACGTTTATCTTCCCTCTCATACGACACCGGCCTGCTAATTGACTCTCTGTCTAGGGTCCTGCGACGCCAACGACGCTGTGCATATCACCGTAGTACAGCCCGGCGAGACCAAACCCAAAACCCTCTCGACCTTTCATCCGCAATTCACATACCCCATCTTCGGCGACGAAGAGCGCATTTTTGGCTACAAGGGCCTGATCATTCGCTTGCGCTTTGCGGCCCATGACCTGCGCCCCCATATCCACATCTCGTACGATGACCGGTTCAGGGCGATCGGCGATACAGCTGCGGTCGACCTGTTGGGTGCTTTGAAACCGTTTGCTCCAGAGGGTAAGTTGTTTTATTCAGATGAGAGGACTTCCCATCTAATTTCTGGGTCCAGAGGCGTTTATCAACCTACCGGAATACGAGAAAGCTATCCAAGACGACCCGAGCGCAAAGGGATTTAAGCCTCCAGGCCTGCTGGTTCACAGCTATGAGGTGGATGACCGGAACTATGAGATCTGGGCTGGGTCCCTGGCAGACCCCGAGGTGCGCCGTCTGTTGGACCGCGCTCAGATCCTAGTCTCTCTCTTCATTGAAGCTGGGACCCCATTGACAACGGACGATCCACAATGGACCCTTGAACGGTGGACAATCTACTTTGTGTAGGTGAACTTGACTTTTTCATTTCAACAAAGCTAATGGCTATCACAGGTATGAGAAAGTGACTCCTCCGACGCCCACAGCGTCAGCATACTCCATTGTAGGATATGCCACAGCCTATCGATACTGGCTCTACCAGCGAGACCGCTCTGAAACACCCGTTGTCAAGTCCGATCCGTTTCCCGGCCCCGAAGTTAAGATCTCAGAGCTCCCTGCGAGACTTCGGATTGCGCAGTTCCTCATCCTCCCTCCACACCACCGTTCCGGTCACGGCACCCACCTGTACACGGCAATCCACGCTACCTGTCTCGCCGACCCGACCATTGTGGAACTGACCGTGGAGGACCCGAACGAGCAATTTGATGCGTTGCGAGACACGGCCGACTACTGCCTCCTGCGGCCGGAGTTCCTCAAGCACGGCGTGAACATCAACCCCGATCCCTACGATGCATACTCTCGGAAACAACGCCTGAAAGTGGTGCCCACGGCGGCTCTGATCCCCACCAAACTGCTGGTGGACATTCGCACATCCTTCAAGATCGAGTCGACCCAGTTCGCGCACATCTTGGAAATGTACCTCCTCAGCCAGATTCCCTCAAGAAACCGGCTGTCTGGCGGAGCCAACCTTGCACGACTGCTGATAAAGAAGCACCGAGTTGACGATGTGAATGACCGACGCTACTACTGGTGGCGCATGCTCATCAAGCAACGACTGTTCAAGAAACACCGCTCGTTGCTAAGTGAGTTGGATGCGACCGATCGAGTTGAGAAGCTCGATGAGACTGTGCGGAATGTGGAGGAGGGCTATGACGTTACGCTCCAGGCACTGGAGGGTCGCTTGCCTGATGTGCAGGATGAGCCCCCGGTGGCTGTCAGTGGCAGCCGGGACGGGCGCGTCAAACGCAAGCTCACCATCTCGGACGATGAAGACGAGGAGAATGGAACGGAGTTCGCCAAGCGGCCTAAGGTGTAGTTGGATGGGTTGTCTGCTGCCATTGGACTGTGTAATTTAAATTCAGGGATCTGGGGCGCAAATGGATTGATCCTTCAGATCAATATATTTCAAATGTAAAACGGCGGACCTGTAAATTGCCTTTTGCACCATAGTTCACCAGAGAAAGGAAGTGATCCTTACAGGTGTACTAGAGCACGGCACTCAAGACTACATGCCTATTTCTCAATCATCTCTACTAATATTCTGTCTACTAATATTCTGAAGTCATTTTTAAAATTTGTTTGTCCCAGCCTCTTCATGTGCTGTTTTCATCAAAGCAAATCTAGAGCGTTCTCTTTCTAGTTCTCGCCCTCATAAACTGCCCGCATTTAAAAATTTCAGACCGCCAGATAGTTCCGAGGCACGCTCGCAAACCGCATTGTCATGGATTTTCTCGCTAAGATTTTTCACTTCAGCATTGTACATTAACTTCGAAGAGATCATCTGGGAGTGGCTTGTGGTTGTCAGGCCCGAGTCAAGTACAGAGGAAGTGCATGGAATGTACAGTGTCATCGCACGTATGAGACGGCGGGCGACGATGATTTACGCAGAGTTGGCGGTTGCATCGCTCACAGGGGCCAAATCCCCGTATACTTGGTAGCACACAGCCGGCGACATCACAAGTGAAAAATCTATCAAGCCGGGGGGTCATTCCGAGTTGTTGTAGTTGACGATGCCCATGCTGATGTTGATGGTTCTGTAGTTCGGTCGGCCTCTCGGTTACTTTTTTCCGAGCGCATCGGAGCTTCGTGACGGACGTTCCTTCCTCCTCCACCACTTCCTCCATATTCCAGCCACGCCATTGCCTCTCTTTCTTTCGGGATACACGCATTCGTTGCTCTCAGTGCGTGTCTTCTATTTCGGACTTCCGAATTTTTAACCACATCCACCACTCCCACCACCACCGGCCGACTCGTGCTCTCCCGCCCGCACCTGAGTTCTATCCGTCGCAATTCAAGATGGTGCGCTACTATTCGCCCCCAAAGAAAATTACGCAAATATATCCTAACAGAAAAACATAGTTACCCCTCGGCCTGCTCACAGCGGCACAGGGTCACCCGATGCTGGTCGAGCTCAAGAACGGGGAGACGCTGAACGGCCACCTGGTCAACTGCGACAACTGGATGAACCTGATCCTGCGTGAAGTGGTCCAGACAAGCCCGGAAGGTGATCGTTTCTTCAGATTACCCGAGGTCTACATCCGCGGCAACAACGTATGTCTCTTTTTTTCTGTCGCTGTGTCCGACACAAACACCTTGCACAGTCCAGCCTCTAATAATTGCCATGCAGATCAAATACCTTCGCATCCCCGAGGAGATTGTCGACCAGGTCAAGGAGCAGCAACAAAACCAACCACGGGACCGTCGTGGCGGACGAGAGGGTGGGCGCGATCGCGGCAGGGGCGGCGGTCGTGGCGGACGCGGGCGGGGTCGTGGGCGAGGCGGTCCATGAATGGTCTCGAAGAAAGGTGTTTGACGAGATACCCCGCGAGAGAAAAGCAGGGAGGAGGGAGGTCCGTCGGTGTCAAGGTCGGATATCTTTTGGCGGGTTGGTCGCATGCTTGTTGGCGTACCTGGGCTTTTTTTTATTCTCTTTTTTTTTCAGTGGGGACCGGGGGAAACAGTCTGGTCTATTTCTGACCTCCTACTATTACAAATAAACACATCTATACCTCTGATCTGTTGCTCTTGCACTCGTCGAAATTGGCGGTCAAATTCTGAATTAGTTAGTGCGTCGGGCCGGGGCTTGAAAGCGATTGAATTAAACCACCAGGATCATACCCGAGGTGATGAAGAGCTTCTAGCAGTTGGCTAACACCGATCCTCCTTTCACAATTTCAGTTAAATAGAAGGAAATGTCCATGTTGATGGAAATAGACTCCGCCTGTCCGGCTTTAGAGAAGAAGGGTCAGAGTGCACATGAGACCGCCCAGGATACCCCACACGAGGATGAACCGATTCCATTTACTTGGGAATAAGTTTTGCAGTTGTTATCAATTCGACATGTTGTCATATGAGCCCCACCCATTTATGATCCTCTATCCTGCTGAGAGTGTGAGCTGGCATCGGCCTTCTCTTTCAGCAAAGGATACAAAGACTGCGGAACACAGATATCAAAGTAAACCACGCTCGGCTCTTCGCTAGTTTTTCTATGGGTACAAGAATTCCATCCTGAGCGTTATGCCAGTCCCCGGGAAGCGTATTTACACGCAGCCGTCGTATGTTCTGGAATGTAGTATGGAGCAACACAAAATCAACGAGCCCATCGAGTCCATCCTTGGGGTTCATCTCCGCGATAAAGATTTCCATGGCTGTTATTTGAGATGTGAGCCTCGTCGGTAGAAGCCTCGGAATGTAAAACAGGTGATGCAGTCCATCGCCCATAACAAAGACATTTGTGCCGTAAAGGACGGGCAATACTTCTTGGTAGCTGCTTTTATGTGAGTGTTCCTTTTTAAACAGCTAGAGAAGAGACATGAAAGACATAAGCGGCGGGAAAACGCATATTCTTTGGCAAGATCTCAGCAATTCAACCCCCAGAAACTTCGTCCCTTCAGGTGCTGGCGTCCGCCTGTTCGCATTACAGATGCTAACTTCGACATAACCCCCTTGCCGACCCCTCTGTACCATGAATCTTAAAGTGCAAGTAGAAATGCACACGTCTTTTACCCAATAGTTCCAGATATATCTGCTCCCGGAGTTCAGGCGGCAGCTCAAAGAAGAGGCTTTGGTTTTGGGGATTGCATGGGAGAGCATCGAGTTTAGCTTCTAGCTGTTCCGGCGCTGAAATAGGCTGCGTCCACTTGTTTAAAGGGGCGCCGGTGACCTCATAAGTTACTGTATTTCGTCTATCACGTTTGGGGATATCTTGGGGAAGGTTTATTCTTTCTCATGAATATTTTGGACAATAGGCGGCGTGCCATTATGGTGGTCGAGTCCAGTCGAGTCGACTAATAGAGCAAGCCTCATAATTCTGTCTCCGAGTCACGTGGCGATCCCACCTATTCCCACGCGAGTTGAGACGGAGCTTCCTCACCCCGACCGCCGCTCGTCATGTCACGGCGGGCACTAGTGTTTGACGGGCTATGGTACTCTTTATGTCCCTCGTTCAGTCTTTCTACACTCAGTCGTCCGGCACCATTTCTGAAGAAACCGCGCCGCCCGCCGGTCTTATCCGTCGCCGCGACTTCGCCTCCACGACGATGTTACAAGCACAAAACCGGCGGGTTTGTTGATCTAAACAAGGTCACAGACAGCACAGCCCCCAAGACGTCCAAACCGAAATCATTCACCGATCCTGAGCCCTCATTGCCGCCGAACGAAGCCCTCAACCATGAGGAAGATACTACCAGTGCGCCAGACTCGACCGCCGGGGAGCATTCGAGATCACCGTCTCGCCGAGTGCCCAGGAACATATGCGAAAAGTCAACCGATGATCTAGAGTCAATGCTAGAGGCTGTGACGCTCAAGTCGCCGAATATCCGGCACACATCGTCGATCTTAGGGGTTTTGATCCGGGATCGCCATATCAAGCCCACTGCCCGGCACTACAAAGCCCTGATTTTGGCAAATACGGACTCGGAGAGAGGCTCACCGGATATGGTGCGTCTTTTGCTGGACGAAATGGAGAATAATGGCATCACGGCAGACTCGGGGACCCTCCATTCAGCGTTGCAGGTGGGTGGTAGCAAATTGATATGCGCAGAGAATAGTGACTGATATTTTGATGGACTAGGTCCTCGCCGTACATCCCGATTACATTCTCCGCCAGGAAATCCTCGGCAAACTTCGAGACCGGTGGCTGCCCTTGAGTCCCCTGGGATGGCATTTCGTTGTAGCGGGTCTTCTACGGGAACACCAGTTGGAATTAGCGCTCGAGCAACTCGAGCTCATGCAGCGGAAAGACATTTTCGTCGAGAATTGGCTGCACAGCATTATTATCTATACCCTCTGCGACTTTCAAGAGTTCGACGAAGTGCATCGTCTCATGCAAGAACGCGTCAACCAGAACCATGACATGACCCTCAGTCTTTGGTCGCATGTGCTGAATGAGGCAAGTCTAGCTTCGCATTACGAGGCCACTCTTTTTGTGTGGCAGCGCATGGTGGACTTGTGCTACTTGCACCCGTCGCTCAGCACCTGCAGCAATGTTTTAGATCTCGCAGCTCAAGTTGGCAGCGCCGAACTAGCCAGCTCCGTTTTTCGATATTTCACCGAGACGCAAATCCTGCCGCGCCGTGAAGACTACGACCTGCTCATCAAAACGTACGTCAAGGTCGGCGATCTGTCCGCCGCGTTCGACGTGTTGTGCAGCATGCACGACGCGGAGGTCACACCGGAAGAAAGCTCGACGCGGCCGATCGCAGAATCCATGCTCCAAACCAGATTCGACCACCGCGAAGCATGGCAGATCCTCAAACGACTACAATGGGACCACCGCCGGAACATTCCTCTCGCCTGCGTGCGCACCATCGCCGAAGTATGCGAGCAACGCGCCGAGCAGGACCCTACCGTCGTCGACGAGGGTATCGCTTTCTACAAAGAGCTATACACGCTCTGCCCCAGCGGTGCTGACGTGACGGTCTACAACTCCTTCATCCGGATGTGCCGTCGCGGCAACAACCGCCAAGCAGGCATGTTCCTCGTGAAAGAAATGGCCTCACTGGGTGTGATCCCCAACGCCACGACCTTCGAATCAATCATCCTCATGTGTCTCGACGCGGGCAATTTCCGCTCCGCATTCCTGTACTTCCAGGATCTCGTCAAACGAGACGCTACCGTGAGCAAAGAAGCGCGTGCGGAGATCTGCGAGATCTGTGCCAAGTCCGTGGACGAGTTTGCGCTGCGACTACAGTATCATCCCCAGCTCCGGGAGGAGGAGGTACAGGAGCAGGAGCAAGATCATGGGCTGGAGCACGTTGAGAATACAAAACCAGACACTCAAAATGCTGCCTCGTCGCGTGGACGTTTGCAGGCTCGCTCAACAGGCCGTCCCTTCTTATCACCTGCTGAGCATCGTATGGGGATGTCGGTGGAGGAGCGACGAGCTTGGAATAAGAGGCGCCGGAAGGAGCGGCGGCGGCGCGAGGCGATTGCGCGCCACGGGGAGGAAGAGGGATGGGCGGATTGGGAGGCTGGTGGTTGTGACAAAGGTCCTGCGAAGGACAGTGTTGATCGTTGACCGGTCATTGTATCATAGTGTTGTTGTGTGCACGGACATCGACTGTACAGTAGTCTATACCATAATCTATGAGCTGACGGTAGCTCCCCTGAATCTGGACATGTACCAGCACTAGATATAGCCCCTCAATGATTTGTTCTTTTTTCCTTTGTTGGAAAACCACGATCAATTCAATTCTACTGCTACTATTACCCCTGACGCGGTTCCCTCCCCCGGTACTTGGCTCGTAGTATAGCCCCCGGCTGTGGCTAAGGCAATTTTCCCGAGATGACCGGGCCACTTTTTGCCCAGAATAGGCAAGAATGCTGATCCTGCGCGCTCAGGCCAAGCCTTCTCTGGGGAAGTGGGGACGGAGGCCTTGAACTCCGAGTTGTTCGACATGCGCAGGACTAATAAGAAAGGAGGCACAGTTAGGTAGTAGACTACTCAATATGATAGTTTATTAAGACGGGGCGGGTGTTCCGACCTCCAGCGTACAGCATTTCCTTTTCGGGATCGGTATGTCTGGCCTGTTATGTATGCTTGTCTTATCATCATCCGCTGTGCTATGAGGCAGCCGTTTGCCTGTCACCTTGCACTTGTGGTCTTGCATGTTCCTGTGCCATTCCGGATGTCAATATTAGAACCTTGAGTTACTAGATGCTCCGTACGTGAACCTGGGCGCCTCGTCTCAGCCACGAAAACCGGACCTGAACCACCGCAGTAACCATGGGCGCCCCAGGTCCACTGCTCGCTAATAATAGTGCTGACAACCCACTGCCCACCCACTGACGAGTCACAATGGTTGGCTGTTAAGACATCCAGCATTCAACAGGAAAAATTGTCTCACCACAGACTGGTTGAGAACCAATTGCCAAGTCAATCATGGCGTAATCATCCCGTGCGATCGACAAGCCCAAGTGGCCCTCGCCAAGCACCGTTACTTGGGACGAACCATCATCTCTCCTTTCTCGCGTATATATTCATCCCTTTCCCTCTTGCTTTCTTTTCTTCTTTTCAGTCCGTCAGAAGAATATTGCAGTATCGATCTCACTCTCCAGTACTGTACATATATTGATTTATTATCCCCACCATCAACATGCGCTTCACCCTCCTCACCCCCGTGGCCCTACTGGCCACCCTCGGCCTCAGCGCCCCCATCACCGACGCAGCAAACGAGGCCGCCCCAGCCTGGAAGGTGACCGACTTCACAACGGGCTGCTCCCCGGGCGGCTGCACATACTCGTTCCACATCCACGCCGCCAAGTCCGCCAATACCCCGGGCTTCAGCACCAGCTGCAACGGCACGGACGAGCAAGGTGGCCTGAAGCCGTGCAAGAACCCCAATATCCTGTCCAATATCAAGCCCGAGACGTATCCCAAATGGGAGATCACCGTCCAGCACCAGTGGCACCCCCAGGAAGGCTCGACGCGCTATGCTACCGGCTCGAGGAATGTTTCTGTTCCCGACACGGAGCCGTCGGCCAGCTTTACGATGAAGCCGACCGCGGAGGCGGGCGTGGAGTAATTGGTTCCTCTGTTAACCTCATAATGATCACTACTCGGCGTTATTCTTCGGTTTTGTTGGGGATACCAGTTGCTTGAGACACTCTTTTTACTGCGACAGTACATACATAGTCTATTCTGTACATTAGTTGATAATTCCTCAATCAATTGATCCAATCCTTTGTCGGAGCTCATCCAGGTCCGCAACTACTGTTTCATGACATCACCCTCAAACCCAGCCACTCACACCCCCGGTCCGCAGTGATAGGCCACGCCACCTTATCACTCCCAGGGTTCATCCCCTCCTCGTCGTCCACTCCCTCGTCCCGCATGAGCTGACCTCCTCATGGTCAGTACGGTCCCTGATTGGTGTCGTATTGAATACTGACGATATCCCCAGTCCTCCATCCTCCGTCAGATCGTCGCGGGTCCAAGATTGCAGCACCCGGAGGCGGGGTTGGATCTCTGCTACGTAACAAACAACCGTACGACCCAATCTCCCCTGGACTCACGATCACGTCTAACCAGACCTATGACCTAGTGATCGTCACCTCCGGTCCCTCCGCAACCTACCCGCAGCGCGCATACCGCAACCCGCTCGATGCCCTGGTCCATTTTCTCGACTCCAAACATGGCTCCGACTGGTGCATCTGGGAATTCCGCGCCGAGGGAACAGGGTACCCAGACTCAGAGGTGTATGGCCGCATCCACCACTTCCCCTGGCCCGATCACCACCCGCCGCCCTTTGCGCTGATCCCGAACATCATGGGCAGCATGCGGAACTGGCTGCAGGAGAAGGAAGGTCGCGTCGCCGTCGTGCACTGCAAGGCCGGCAAGGGCCGCAGCGGCAGTATTGCCTCCGGGTACCTGATCAGCCAGGAAGGGTGGACGAAAGAGGACGCGCTGCAGCGGTTTACGGAGCGGCGCATGCGGACCGGGTTTGGAGCTGGCGTGAGCATTCCCAGCCAGCTGCGCTATGTCGGGTACATTGAACGGTGGACGAACGAGCTGCAGAAGGAGTATGTTGAGCGACCCGTCGAGATCCTCGAGGTCCATATCTGGGGTCTGCGGGATGGTGTCAAAGTCGCCGTGGAGGGATACGTGGACGAGGGCAAGAAGATCAAGATCCTCCACATGTTTCACCGCAGCGAACGGACCATCGTCGAGGATGGGGATACGTCTCAATCTGAAGGGAGTGACAAGATCAAAAAATCAGCCTCGGAATCACAGTCGGCCACGCCGGTCACCTCCACACCAACATCATCAACATCCAACATCCTCCGCTCAGCAACAACGTTCTCACAAAACCAACACCCCTCCACCATGATCTTCCGGCCCAAAAAGCCCTTGATCGTGCCAACCTCAGACATAAACATCGACTTTGAGCGCCGCAGCAAAGCCTCGTACACGGGATTCACCATGGTCACCTCCATCGCGCACGTATGGTTCAATGCCTACTTCGAAGGCGGCGCGCAGTACGACTCGGGCGTCTTCGAGACGGAATGGGACGCCATGGACGGGATCAAGGGGAGTGCACAGAAGGGCATTCGCGCGATGGACCGGCTGAAGGTTGTATGGCGCTATCCTCCACCGTCCGCGCAAGATCAAACCGCGAGACCGATCAGCGAGCCGAAACCGGGCGAGCCTATCTCCGAGACCCATCCTGCAGACTGGCGCGGTCCGCACTCCCCAGGGCAGGATACACCTTCCACTCCCCCGCCATCACCGCGGAGCAGGAGAATGAACAGTCCTCCACTGGCAGCAAGACCGAAACAAATTCAGAAACCCACACAAGCACTAGCACCTCTAGCGGAACTCCTGCCTCCGCAGCCGCACATCTATTATCCGTGGCAGGACTCGAGAAGGATCTCGGGCTGCGCAAACAAACAGACGAAAGCAAAGACGTAAGTCTCGCAGGAAGCGAAGACGAGCGCTCAGAACAAAAACATACTTCTACCTCTTCTGCGGATTTGGAAGGAGTGAGGTCTTACTTTGAGAAGACGGGTCCGGATGAGCAGAAAAGGGATGGAGAGGAGGGAAGGCCCTGAGCATTTAACGAGATTATAGACATACTAACTCCTATATACGTGCATGCTTTGTTTGCATCCGAGCCATAGATACCATACCATATACACGATGCATATTTTTGGTTCTTTCATTTGGATGATCATCTCTCGTAGTGCAAGCTACATACGTAGTGGTTATATATTCCTGCATAACTAAGTGATTGCAAACTTCTGGGAATATATCTTCCCTTCTGCATGCTCTAGGGCCGTGGCGAGATAGACACCAGTCAGAGGAATATGTAACCGCTTCCTAAATTACTTGCTTTGCTTTGGCAAAATGCTTGTTACACACATACACCCAATGATCCCGACCAAAGATCCAATACCAGCCCCGCCAGCAAGGCCACGCCAACCCCCTATAACAGGTCCCGTTAATCGCCGCGAAGCTACCGCAAGTACTCCAAGAGCTGCAGCCGGCTCACTCCAGTTGTCAACAGCCACCTGACCGGTGTTGTACCGTAAACGCCAACTGCGATCTTTCCATTCGATCTCCTCTCGGCCCCACATCCGAGCGATGAGGCCAACTCCGACGATGCCAGTCCCGATGAGACCCCCAGTACCTGCTGAGCGGAGAAGAAAGGGAGCGGTCATGGATCGACGCTTGAAAAGAACTGCCGCGCCGCTGTTCAGCAGGCCGATCGCGCTGCCAAGCTGGAAGCCACGGCTGAGGACGTGGGTGGTGAGAATCGTTCGCGCCAATGGCTGGTCTTCTTCGTACTCGGCCGTGGGGTAAAAGTACGACATTGTGTTCTAGAAAAGGGGTACCAGCAAATAGAGCGTTTGTTCACTTGGTTAGATTTTAAAGAAGGTTGACATTTCCGTGTTCTGGTACGTCTTGCCGGTGAGGCTGCTTTTGATTAAGGGATAATAGGTGGGGAAATCCCGACGGTTCATCAGATCACGGGCGTAGCCTTGTAGAGAAGTCTGTGCTTGAGGTTCAGGCGTCCAATAAGCTCTCACTAGGTGCTTGCTGACGGGTGCTTACTGGGCATTCCTTAGGTAGCGATTGGCCCCGAGATCCTACTGGACGACCACTGGGAGATCCGAGTACGTCATGGACTTGTTTAGTATAGAAGTTGACAATTAGAGGTGCAACTGCCGCTGTCTGTAGTCTCAAAGGACGGTAGAGGAATATGGGATATGTCCTCAAGGTGCTTCATCCTGTAGCTCACTCCGATTGATGCCTTTCACATGAACTAGATAAGACTCTAGATATGGTCGCTTCAGTCTATACACAATACAATACATCCAATTTATCTACACCCTAAATGCAACTCCAAGCCCAGCGGCGCCTATGTAATCTCTTTCTTCCTGAACCCGTCTCACAGCGGCACAAAACCCTCCATCCGCTTCCGGTGCTCCCTCTCAGCGTCCTGCGCCTCCCTCTTCAACCGATCGGACTTCTTCCGCTCATACACAGCCCTCACAACGCGGCGGACCTGCTCCTCGCCCTGTGCGAAATTCGCCTTCGCCAGACCAACCACGGAGTCGATCTGTTCGGGCGTGTAGATGAAATTCCAGGTAGACAAGAAATCATCCACCTCCGGATCGATCGAGGACGGGTGCGGGGCTACAGGCTGTTCTGGATCTTTCGCCTGGGAACTGTCTCGCTGCTGCAGAGAAGCGACTGCGGGACGAGGTCGGCTGAGCTGGGATGTAGGCGGGAGGTCTGGGGCGGACGGGTTGGGGATGAGAGGGAAGTAGACGACGGCGATGCCTGCGTCGGGACGCATCAGGTGGAAGTCTGAGTCCGAAGGGTCTGCGTTCTGGGGATGGAATAGGCGTTTTGAGGGTGGTGGCTCGTCCTCGGAGATGCGCTCTTCCATTGTTCCGACCCAGACGTTGCAGTAGTCCAGGTCGCCGTCCGTGGAGGAAGGGGGTTTGGCGCTTTTCATTTCTTGGTCCACCTTCTCGCGGAGGGCTTCGACACTCTCGCCTTTTTTGGGCCATCCGGCTCCCAGGGGCCAGCCCTTAATCCCCCGCTGACGAGCATAGCCGTCTACGACAGACAACCAATTCTCTTGCTTGATGTCGGCCGATGCATCGAAAGCTACGATGATATCAACATCGCGTCCAGGACGGATGAGCGGGTAGATGGGAAGATTGTTGCTCATGCCTGCATCCATGAGCCGCAGGTGCTCGCTGTGAAAGATAGACTCGGGGGCTGAGGCCGGGAGCTGGTCTTTCATGCCCATCACGTAGTTGGGAATGGCGGCGGGATCGATGGGGTGCACGCGAATCAGGTCCTGGTTCTTGCCCTGGATGAGCGAGTCGATTCCGCCAAATCCAGCAAGGCTCTTGACTAGCGGTCGAATTTCTTTATAGTAGTGGGACAGGGTGGCGCAAAAGGCGCTGCCCCAAATCCCCATCAGCCCCGGAACCCTGAGCTCTGGGATCGGATAATCGCCCGGAGCAATCTGATTGTGGCCGGCATTGAACTGTCGCCCCAGAGCCCAAGTCGGAATCCCGGCATTGAGTTCTTCACAGAAGAACTCGTACGGGGTGAACTCGAACCACTGAAACCATGACTCACTCCTAGATTCTCTCATGAGCTCCTCTGGTATTTTATGCTGGTGGGCTTTATCATGGTCCTGTCCATCAAGCATGGGAATCTCATGGCGAACGGCGGTGTAGATCGGGAGAGGATGCGCGCCATTCAGAAGATTTGCCTTCTGGCTCGACAGCTTCAGATCCGAATCTGACACTCCAAGCTCTCCACGCGGCACCAGTAGTCTTGCTGCGATGAGTAATCCGTAGATATCCACCAATCCAAAATCCGCGCCGGGATCACCCTTGAGCTTCTCCACCAATCCGCTGAGGAGATACTTGTTGGTCGGGGCGGTGGTAAGCAGATTCAGTGCCTTCGGAGGGAACGCAATGTGTACACCCAGCCGGTTCTTCAGATGGTCGACGAGTCTATTGAAGTTCTGGTCCGCGATGGATGAATGGTACAGGGTTTGCAGCCAGCAGCTACCGGAAACGCCCGCGGTATAGGTCACACAATCCCAAAGCCCAGCTTCCTGTGCTGCTAGGTAGGATCCAGTGCCCGCAACGAGGGCGCGCAGTCCCCCTCCGGAGCCGCACATGGCAATGACCGGCACATCATCGGGATGGATGTCCTGCTCGCGGATATTGAGGTACGAGGCCAATGCCTTGACAGAATGCTTCTGGCGATTGCGTCTGAAAGCCTGCTCCTCTGCACAGAGGTCTTTACTCACCCGCACTTTGGCGTCCCTCAGGATTTCAGGGTTTAGATAGGGATCTTTAGCATCCGCCCAAATGGAATCTGCCAGCGACCCGGGAGCTAAGGAGAGCTCCCGCTGCAGTTTTTGGGCTTTCGCCGGCAGCAATCGCGCCCAATCCGGAATATAATGCGTGATGTTGCCCCCCAAGTCCACCCATTCCGCCGAACGAACTGTGTGGGTGACCCCATCGAGCTTGTGGACAATCTTGGTCCAGACGGATCCATGATCCCCGTCTTCCTTGCTGCCTGACAGGTCAGAGGAAGAGGAGGAGTGTTTCGAGTCCGGATCAGTTGCGTAGAGGCCAGACGAAGTAGCAAAGTAGGCTTTTTGGTCAGGTTGCTGGACACGTCTGCTGGATTGAGTCCACTCTCCCGCAGTATATGCGGCCAGGGCAGCTGGAGGGACAGTCCAGCGAAGACGGGCCACCCTGGTAGCCATTGCGATAGGGGAGAGGTGAGAGGAAGAGAGGGCCAGCATGCAGCCAAGTGCAATGCCGAGGCCGCAAAGTGACGATTCTCGTCAATGACGAAAGTTATACAAAAGGAAGGCGGTGGGGCGGATGACTAACCCATCCACCCTCATTCAGGACTAGCGTGGTAGACCGCTTATCTATCTATTATCGTCTCTGCGAACACGAGTCACTCCTGCAGACACGTTCACCATGGTGGCTCCGCGCAATACCGCCTATGCGGAGGAGAGCGCCGAGGTGGAGGTGCTGTATGCCAACCTCGAGAAACTCAATCGCCTCACCAAGAAGATCCAGGGGTCCATGGTGCGCCTGGAGACCGGGGGCAAGGTCGTCAAGGAAGCCATTGGCCCCATCTACAGCAACACGCAGTCCCTCCAGATTACCAACAGCAACATCGACAAGGTCAACGATGCGATTGATCGTTTGCGCCAGCCTCTCGATGCAAAATCCCGAGAGGAGGGTGTCATCCGCGCTGGGTATGTGGTCTAGCCAGGGGGTAAACAAATCCAAGATGCTAATGGGCCAACAGTCCGCAAGCCACCGGCCTCGCACAGTACCTGACGGCGATGAGACGTGTGGAGAAGGCGCTGGTCGACCTCAACACGACGAACATGCGGTCCAACCAGAAAGCAATCGCCGACTTTAATAATCTTCTGAATACAGGCAGTGTGAAGCTGCAGGACCTGTTCCGGGACGAGTTGAGTTTGCATATCAGCCCGGTTGAGCCGCTGCATTATCTGACCAAAGGTGGGTTGCCGTCCTGTAAACTTCGTCGAGGTGATTGCTGACCTCGAGCCCTTGTTTAGAACTTCCCTTCCCCACCATCCCCGACGACACCATCTCCAAACTTACTCCGCTAGCTGCTGCAATCAGCTCAGCAGCTGAGAATGGGCCGCAACATGGCTCAGGGGATAACCCCGCGCTCAAGATATATGCCGAAGTGCGCGGGTCGTACATTACCTCCGGCCTGCAGAACCTGGCCATCGCCTCACTCAACACGGTCAAACGCAAACCGCAAGATGGCCCCTACAAACAAGGCACCAACGGGATTGGGATCTACTCGAATGCGCTAGAAGGCTTTATTACTGCAGAACATGCCATAATCAATCAGATCTTCACCGGGGACCAACGAGGCTTGGCCTTGCAGTCCACTTTCCTGTCACCGATGGCAGAATATTCCAAGACTCTCCGTGAACTCAACCAGTATATCAAGGCCAACCTGATGACGGATTGTTTCCTGGCGTTTGAGATCATGGAGATTGTGACCGCCATGTCCTACCGAATCGATTCGAAGACGGGAGAGCTAAAGAGTCTCTTCATCGAAGCTCTACGGCCCGTGCGGGAAACTGCAAAGTCATCTCTCTCAGAGCTGCTAGAAGAGACAAAACGCAAGGCTTCCAGCTCGTCGGCCCTGCCTCCGGATGGCGGATCGGTGCCGCTTGTGAATGAGGTGATGAGCTCGCTTTCTACCCTGACAGGCTACTCAGGGCCGTTGGCCTCGATCTTGACCTCAGTCGGTGATGGAAACTGGCGCTCCCGATCCAACACGCCCGGTGCAGCTCCCCTGGATGTTGGTCCGGATAGTGGCACCCTTCTGTCTCACTTTATTCTGGACATGATTGAGGCCCTCATGACTTCTTTGGAAGCACGGGGTCGGAATTTCCACCGCAGTAAGGCCGCTCTTGGTGTGTTTCTGTCCAATGTTTTCTGTATTGTCGACCGATCGATTCGCCAGAGTCCCGAACTGGCGCGTTATCTCGGTGCACCGGACAGCATCGCCCGCATCGACACATTCCGCAAACGCGCAACCTCGACCTATCTTGATGCGTGGAAGGAAACCTCCCAGTACTTGCTTGACGTGCAGTACACTTCCAAGACTGGGTCTCGGACCAGTTCCGGGGGCGCTGTGGACTCAAGCACCATCATCAAGAACTTGTCGTCACGCGACCGGGATGCGATCAAGGAGAAGTTCAAATCCTTTAATGCGAGCTTCGACGATATGGTGTCCAAGCACAAATCGCTGCACATGGAACGGGAAGTGCGCAACGTGCTCGCTCGGGAGTTGCAAGCTGTACTCGAGCCTCTGTACTCGCGCTTCTGGGATCGGTATCATGAGGTCGACAAGGGACGGGGCAAGTACATCAAGTACGACAAGACTGGCCTGTCGACTCAGCTGGCACAGCTCGCCTAGTACCGCCTCAGGCATTAGATGCAATAATGAATACAAAACTATATCCCGGAAATAGAATCCTGTGGCCTCAGGCTGCCAACTCCCACCGATAACGTGACTGATAAGATCCACCCCGCGACAGCAAAAAATTTCCCCAATAGCTTTCAACTCAGTATTGAATCAATTGATTGACACAACACAGACATCATGCCTGAAAGCAACGATGTCTACCAGACGCCCCTCAACTCGCGTTATTCGAGTAAGTCTTTTCTGCCCACCAGTTTCCCCGATGGACGATTCCGCAAGTGATAGATTAACGGGTCCAATTGATAGGCACGGAGATGAAATACCTCTTCTCCCCTCGTATGCGGTTCTCAACATGGCGAAAGCTGTGGGTGTGGCTGGCAGAATCTCAAAAAGGTAGGATACCTTACTAACCAACCCACCTACCCGACATCGAACTAATCAAGGTCTGTAGAGCTGGGACTCCCCATCACCGACGAAGCCGTCGAGCAGATGAAGGCCCACGTCACGATCCAGGATGAAGAGTTTGCCGTGGCTGCCGAGGAGGAGAAGCGCCGGCGACACGACGTGATGGCCCACGTCCACACCTTCGGACTGGCCGCCCCCGCCGCAGCTGGAATCATCCACTGGGGCGCCACCTCGTGCTACTGTACTGATAACGCGGACCTGATCCTGCTGCGAGACGGCCTGGACATTCTCATCCCCAAGCTGGCCGTGGTAATCGACAAACTATCGGCCTTCGCCAAGGAATACAAGGATCTGCCCTGTCTGGGCTTCACGCACGGCCAGCCCGCCCAGCTGGTCACCGTTGGCAAGCGCGCCTGTCTTTGGATCCAGGATCTGCTGATGGATCTGCGGAATCTCGAGCGCTCCCGGGATGATTTGCGCTTCCGCGGTGTCAAGGGTACCACGGGCACGCAGGCTTCTTTCCTGCAGATCTTCAACGGGGACCACGCCAAGGTTGAGAAGCTGGATGAGCTCGTCACCGAGAAGGCCGGCTTCAGCTCTGCGTTCATTATCTCCAGCCAGACGTACTCTCGGAAGATTGATGTGGATGTCGGCAATGCTCTGGGCTCGTTTGGTTCGACGTGCGAGCGCATTGGTATTGATATTCGTCACTTGGCTATGCTCAAGGAGGTTGAGGAGCCGTTTGAGAAGGATCAAATCGGTAGCAGTGCTATGGTGGGTTTTTTTGTCGTTTGTTGTTGAAACTCAAACTAATTATGTCCAGGCCTACAAGCGTAACCCTATGCGTTCTGAGCGTCTCTGCTCGCTCGGCCGTCACCTGCAGAACCTTCCCAAGGATGCTCTGGACACATACTCTGCTCAGTGGTTCGAGCGGTCGCTAGACGACAGTGCCATCCGCCGTATCAGCATCCCGGAGCTTTACCTGTCCGCCGATGCCTGTCTCATTCTTCTGAACAATGTGACTTCCGGCTTCGTCGTCTACCCCGAGGTCATCAAGCGCCGGGTCAATGACGAGCTTCCTTTCATGGCCACGTAAGTGTCTCTCCTTCTCTGTGTTATCAGGCACTAATATTTCTTCATAGTGAGAACGTACGCAACCAATCAATCCAATTTTTGTATCCTATTGCTAATTATCACAGATCATCATGGCCTGCGTGAAGAAGGGTCTCTCCCGGCAGGATGCCCACGAGGAAATTCGTAAGTCGCAACATTCCCCTTCTTGGCGAGCCCCAATTGATCGTCTCCAGGTGTCCTCTCCCACCAAGCTGCAGACAACGTCAAGAAGCAAGGCAAAGACAACGACCTGATCGAGCGGATCCGCCGCACCGCATTCTTCGGTCCCATCCTGCCTGAACTGGACTCTCTGCTCGACGCCAGTACCTTTGTTGGCCGTGCGCCGCAGCAGGTGGAGAAGTTTACTTCCACTGAAGTCGTTGCTGCTATCAAGCCGTATGAGAAGTATCTGGCCAAGGCGGAAACTGCTGCGCTGCACGTCTAAGCAGAAGCATTTGGAGTGGATGTATGAAGTAATTTGATGAGATGAAAGAAAAGTCGTAGGACGAATCAGCAATGTTATATAAAGAATTCAGGAGTTGATACATATACGGTCTAGATTCCGGGACCAGTGTCTGCTAGGAATTATGCATTAATATAGACGGACTGGGCGCCCATCAGCCAAAAAGACAGAAGACAGCCAACCCATTTTAGAATACAAGAGTGAGAGAGACCCACCCCATAGAAATGACAGACATCAAGTTTGTATCCAAGGTTCGATAGAGCTTCATGCGTGGAGAAAGAGATCTAAAGAAACACAAAACCTTCATCCGGTGCAGAATAGAATAGAAAAATGCCATCAATCTCAAAGGTGAATCTGATGGGGAATGCAATGGAACGCTGAAGACATGCCAGTGAGAAAGAATAGTAAGGGCCATTGGTCGTCCCTGGGAAGCTCAAGATCATCATGTCGTTATACGCTCGGGGCTGCTCTCGTCGGAAGTTTCGGTCAGTTGATCGTCTGCGTTGTCGATTAGCGATATTAGTTCCAACTCAGACATGTCCTGTTCTGGTTTGAGACGAACCATCGTCGCGGAATTCTACTCACACAAGGCCCGGAGTTTGAAAGAATTGCTTTTACTCCAACACCATACCCCATAATTCCCGCGGAAGCCGGACCGTCCCCTGCCGGCAACTAGGCCTTAGATACCGCGGTAACATCATCAATTCACCGCATGAGCGGAGGGACTGGGCTCTGCTGCCGAAAAAGGCATATAGAACATATCACGAATCAGCCAGACGATGTAGAATAACCCGAGCACCCACAGCGAAGCCATGAGTTTGTACGTTGACGAGCGCCAGGTGACGCGGCGGACGAGGCGGCGGCCATTGGGGCCCTCGATCGGACCGCGGCGTTGTGGAGGCGGCGGCGAGTGCGAATGGCCGTTGGACTGCATGTGAGCGAACGGGTAGGCGAAGGCCTCGTTCATGGCGGCCTCACTGTGTGAGGTTCGACGGCGCGCCATTCTTATTATTTTGGGTTGTTTTGTTTTGGCTGTGGATCCGTGCCGGGAATGGACCGGAGAAAAAGAGAGAGGGACAAGGCGTAGTCCGCACACAGACACGCTGTGTGGCCAAAAGAAGAGAGAGAAAGGCAGATAGGACCGAGCAGAGAGACAGAGAAAAAAGAAAAAAAAAAGAGGCAGCCGGCAATGACCCACGATGGGATGGGATGGTCGGAGTGAGCCCGTTCTACTACTATAACTGGTAAGAGATAAATGACAGGCGAATCCTTTGTGGTCTGGTTTAACGAGAGGCAAAAGGAGGGGCGAAAGACGAGGGCGAGTCAGCACTGGCCGGAAAACAGCATTGAGCTCAAAGAGGGAATCTTGATTCCCCAGAAGCGGATCTGGCGTGGATGTCGGCTGAAAGAATCAGCGAATTAAGTCCGCCAACCGGCGGGGTGGGACTCGTGGGCCAATGCGCGAAACAAAAGTTCGAAATGGGGGAACTTTTGGGGTTCGTGGTCTTGTCGAGTGTCGGGTCTGTCAGTCTCTCTGTCGGTGGTGGACGGCAGATGGGTCTAGACACCCGGCCCCCGGGACAACTGTCCAGCGCCTGAGCGAAGGACTAGGGCCGATGATCGCCCCCGCCAAGAGGGACAAAAGTACGAAAAAGTACGAAGCGAAGGAGCGCGAGAATTGGATGTTCGGAGAGATAAATGAGTGTACAGCTGTCGTGTGCTGGCATCGTCCCACCATCAGACGAAGAATGTTCATGATAACAACCTGGGGAGTCAGTAGTCCGGAGTGGCGTGGGCTATCGTTCCCCCACACAGGACCCCTAGGACGGTAGAAATTGGCGAGTGCGTGTTGTTCTGGTGTATTCCTTGTCTTTCCGGTAGTGGATAAATAGGGTTAAATTGCTCCTTCATCTCACGAGAGCGTAACAATATTCGTGGTGGGATTAGTTATTCTCTCAAGTGAGGATGATAACTCTCGAGCTAGGCCCTATCGTGAAGTTTAATCGTTAAGCTTTAGGTATCCTCACATATGATCTGATCTGCCTCGCAGCAGTCGTCGAAAACCCACTATTCTTACACTGTTATTCTCTTCTCATCCGTTTTAGCCGCGTTAAGAAGCATCCGCCATCAACTTCTCCTCGCGCCGTTTGGCTTCAACGTAGTAAGCACGAGGCGAGGCACCCACCCCGCATTCTTAACTCCAATCGCCTCCTGGCACACTTGAACTTTTTCGTCTGCTTCAACTTGTGTGCACGCCATTTGTAGATATTCGCGCGAATCATCATCTGAATCCGCAATCAGGTAAGGTGTTATCTTGTGCGGGTCAGCTCTGTCCATTTTTTGGACCGGGTGATTAGATCGGCATTTAACGTGGCATAATCGCCCTCCCAGGGATCACTCGCGTGGTGAAAAGCCCCGCCCAGGTCGGCTGAAATTATAGGCTAACGCATCGCAATGTTCTAGGTTCATGCCTGCTCTCAGTTGACGTAGAGATAGTGAAGTTGACGCATGCGTTTAGCTTAGTGGACCTACTCTCTTTCTTCTAGGCCGTTGAAATTGTTTGGGAGCATAGATTTCTTTAGAGAATTCGAGACTTCATCACCGTAATTCTGAAGATTATTTGGACTCCTGCACTGCGGCAGGAGCGGCAGAACCGCGCTGTGCTGCAAGTCAATAACCCGATGACCTCACACTCAGTTATAGAGAGAAATGTTCGGAGCTTGGGGCGTGTCGAAAGGCTACGCGTAGAAATGATGGGGAGGAATTGAAAGGGACAAAAACATGCTGTTCTACGTAGACGCAGAGGCATGATTTGACTGAGTGGTTGTGTAGGTATAGAGCTGCTGTTGATCGAACACGCTCGATGCAACCGACACGCTAAACCGCATCGGGTCATTGGCGGTCACCCGAGTATACCACCAGTCGTCGTTCTCGTGCTTTCCGTGTCTTCCCGTAGTCAATGCACTACTAGATACTAGATCTCCTACTCCCTAGGGGATTCCAGATGAATTCAATCGCTCCGGCCAGGTGGTCACGAGAGTAACCAAAAGTGGCTCCTCGATTCCTCCGACCCCCGGAGCCTAAAAGCGGAGACTCTCCAGATCGTCTCAACCTCGGCAGTGGAACACATCGGAGCGGCCAGTTATTATTACTCACCGGCATCCCTCACCTTCCCTCCAACATTCCTCACGCGACCCTCCCCGGACCTCACCTCATTGTCACCACGGACTGTCCACCCCCGACACCTCTCTCCTCTCTGCCCAGAAAAGACCCCCCGCTGAACCCAGGCCGTTACGGCCGGAATCGCTCTAGGCATGTGGAAGCCGTCGGAGAGCCTGATGAACACCATCAGGCACTATGCCAGCTTCCCCGCCACCGGCGTCTCGCTGAGACAAATGGTGCAGTTCGGAGACCGACCGTCTACCGGTATGCGACCCTTCTGCTGCGACCGACCACAAGGAACCGAGCTAACCCATGCGTAGGCACTCTGTTCCGCGCCTCGCAATTCCTCTCCGAAGAGCTCCCCATCCGGCTCGCCCACCGCGTCCAGGATCTCGGCGAGCTGCCCGATGGGCTCAGTGAAATGCCCTCAATCAAAAAGGTGCAGGACTGGTATGCTCAGTCGTTCGAGGTATGAGTCATCGAATTCGATTGCCCCATGTGATGCTGATCACAGCGCCAGGAAATCATCACGCTGCCCCGGCCGTCGCTCACAGAAGAAGTCAAATCCCGTCTGCTGCGACCGAGCCGAATGAACGGCGGGGCGTCCAAGATTCTCTCCGAAGCCACCCAAAATCCCAGCGTGCGCGAGGGCCAGTACCGGTCATCGCCGACCTCGAACTCCACCTGCAATGGCAACGGGAAAGCCGCGGCAGCCGCCGGGCGACGATACTTTTTCCCCGCCGACCATCATGCGGATTGGCCGCCCGAGTTGAACGACTATAACCAGCGATTCGCCAAGACCCTGCAGCAGATCAAGCGGCGGCACGACAGCGTCGTAACGACTGTCGCCCAGGGCATTCTGGAATGGAAACGGGAGCGCCAGCGGATGCAGATCGACTCCACGATCCAGTCGTTCCTCGACCGGTTTTACATGTCGCGAATAGGCATACGAATGCTCATAGGGCAACATATCGCGTTAACGGAACAAACACACGTCAAGCACCCCAATTACGTCGGGATTATCTGCACCAAGACCAATGTCCGGGATATCGCGCTGGAAGCCATTGAGAACGCCCGGTTTGTCTGTGAGGACTACTATGGCTTGTTCGAGGCGCCCAAGGTGCAGCTAGTCTGCAAGGACGACTTGAACTTCATGTATGTGCCGGGCCACCTGTCGCATATGCTGTTCGAGACCCTCAAGAACTCGCTGCGTGCGGTGGTTGAGCAACACGGTGCCGACAAGGAAGACTTCCCCGTCACCAAGGTGATTGTGGCGGAGGGCAAAGAGGACATCACGATCAAGGTCTCCGACGAAGGCGGCGGTATCCCGCGCTCGGCGATCCCTCTCGTCTGGACGTATATGTACACGACCGTGGAGCAAACACCCAACCTAGACCCGGACTTTGACAAGAGTGACTTCAAAGCACCGATGGCCGGGTTCGGGTATGGATTGCCCATCAGTCGACTGTACGCCCGCTACTTTGGCGGAGACCTCAAGCTGATCAGCATGGAGGGGTGAGTCTCTGAATTACACATCTCAACCGGACTACACTAACCTCAACCCATCCAGATACGGCACCGACGTCTACCTCCACCTGAACCGATTATCCTCAAGCTCCGAGCCCCTGCAATGACAATTACCCGTCATGAGAGATGGCCGGGTCCGGTTCACCACCTCGCACCGTCTGCACACCACGTACATCGAGCCGGAACCCACCCCCGCGCCCTCTCGAGGACTGACGCCCATGAACGTGCAGGCGTTGCGCTCGAGACTCCGCACCCGGGAGGTTTCGGAACGCAAGCAAGTCGGTGACGCGGAGAGCCTTTTCCAGTTGGAGCTGCGTCTGAGAGAGGAGGATATGATGTAGATTTCTTTCTTCCGGACGTTGGATTGGATTCTCCTCCGCGCAAGCATACCGTACATCTTGCTCTGCTAGACCAGACCCATTGTGGACGATTGGGTCTGGTCTTGTCGTCTTTGGAAAAGACAAGAAGCAGAGTTCACCACAAGAGGCAGGCCACGTTATGGTGGTTCTACATGCTTAATGATACCCATTACTCTCCAGTCCATAACCAAGGTATATACGTACTGGAGCTTTTGGGCTCACCCTTTGTGTACCTAAGGAACTATTTTTCATGGACAGACATTCACTCGAATTGCTGCTGTACTGTACTGTATTTTGAATCAAACCGCCTATTTCAATCCCTCTTTTAACTTCCCGTGTTTGGCTATTGTATCTACACCATTATGCACATCGACTATTCACATCATATCATCACAGACATATAGAATAAATAAGTTTGTGGGTTCTTTTTACGGCTTTTTCTATTCCAAATCAGAGAGCAAAGCAAAGCAAATCAGTAAGACGATTATAGTGAACGAGCCAACATTTCTCAGTCGTCAATTTTCTTTCCACTGTGGAGAGTCTTCCTCAATCCATCAATTTAGATCAATTTCATCAGCCTCATTAGTCCTCTAGAGCCAGAAAGCTTCATTAACGGGTGTATCTGAACTAAGAGCTCCAAACCCGGTGATGAGAGGTAGGCGTCGTCTCTCGTGAATGGTTTCTCGATCGCGTCGCAGTTCGGACAGCAAATTCAGCGTTTATGTCCACAACTTCTTCGTTTCAAGTTCAAAATGTGTCTTTCGGAAACGCACCATTTCCCATAATGCCGCAGTAGACCAGGCGACGGCTAGCTGCCAGAGCTTGATCCCTTGGCCGAATGTCGTCTCATTCGAGTTGATGGCGGACGAGGCGGCGACAGCGGGAATATTGGAAGTCATGGTTGCGGCGACTTAGAAAAATTTAAGTGAAGTGCGGTGATGGAACAAACGCTGGGCCACGTCGATGTAGCTATAACAGATGGTCAGAATAAGTTTTCCCGCTGCCCGTACATCTGGTGGCTCCATATCAGTTGCCGACAGAACGGCGCAGAAGACGACGGCGATGGTGATGGCGAAGTGACGAAGAGGTTATTCGGATCCAAGAGACATGAGATAGTGGCCTATCTAAGTAACACAACCAGGAAGATAAGCCTCGAGGATAAAAAATCATAGTCTAAACCATAGCAGCCATTCACTGGCTGATCCCTTCCTGCCCAGTCCTACGACCCAAATAACGAACCCTCCGATTTCCGCCCTTGAGATTTATTCCCACGGTGAGCAGGCGATTGCCCCGCAGAAGCAGATCTCGAGCCCGAGCGTGATACAGACCTCGAAGGAGACGCGGTGCCAGAAGAGGTAGTGCGCGGCTTGCGCGGGCCCTTCCAGCCAGAGTCGTCGTTGTCGACCACGACACGCCGGCGGCCAGGAACCAAAATGGGACCATTCTCCGAAGGAGCAACCCAGCGCGAGGCGACGAGCTCCTCTTGTTTTTGAGGGTTGCCTGGGGCAATAAGCTTGGCTGTGAAGCGGCGGCGGGTCATGGGGACGGACTGTTTTGATTAGTATTTGAGTATGCCCAGGCAAGGTGGAGGAAAGAGAAAGGGCATACTCACTTCATTGTTGGCGAGAGCGTATGTCATGAGTAGCTCCCAGTTCGTCAATACAGCCAGGGCGGCATTCTTCTCTTCGCGGATACGGTTGTGAGCGCGGGCATCCTGCTGGAGGGTTGCTGTGTGGCTCATTTGTGCTGATTGGTCTGAGCGAGGGGAGTCGAGATCGGGGATGGAGTATTCTGTCTTGTGTGAGTGGTATTGGAGGTAGAGGGAAACGACATCGTTTGACATACCCCCATGCAACCCCCTTCGTGATCCGAGTCGGGGTACTGCCAAGGCTGGCTCTGGAGGATCGAGTTGCATGCCACCATCGTCAGGATCAAAGTCGTAGTCGGAGTCTGTGTCAATATCGATGGGGATGATGGCGAGGGGAGTTGCCCCGGGGGTGTTTGATCCGCTGTGAGACATTTGCGCGGAGAGTTTGAGATCTAATCCAAGGATGATATTGCAGACCCGTACCAGAGACCCGGCTGGAAGCAGCAGAAGAGAAGTGAAGAGTGAAGAGGACAGAGGAACCGATCCTGCCCACAAAGGCAAGAGAGACCAAACCAGGTATTCAATATTTAGCTGCGAATACCTTTTGGTTGGATTATAGATCTGTAGGTTCCCGTCGATGATGACGTCTATTTGAAGGATGAGTCTTGTGCATCACCGTCAAAAGGGCTATCATCTCACATACATGATTCAGCGCCCTATCTTTCGTCTGTGTACATATTATAGGTCAAGGAATTCCCCTGAGATATTAGAATCATAAATAGAGAAGCGCAAGATTGATGCAGTGGGGTCAAAACAGGCACCCGATGAGGTTAAATGGCTTAGTCATCGCTAATCACCACCGGCAGTGTGAACTTGACCAGTTTAACGATATCACAGTATGTACGCTGACAATTTTTCTGTCTCTGTTCCAAATTGAATGTAGACTTATTACGATCAAGTCGTGCCAAACTAAGTCACCAACCCTCATTCCGCCATATCTGTCTTACTGTAGACTGTGGTTCGAGCAGCATGATGGACGGCCGGGTGGGTTTTGGCCATTTTCGGCCCCTGAAGAAAGTCACAAATTACTTTCACATATCGAGCAAGAATATTAGGTGATCGGTGGAGCTTTCCTTGCAGGTTTCGGGGCAATTAGGAGCTAACCCCACGATTTGTGACTGGGAATGCCTCCCATAGAACATGCAAGTTACGGCCGCCACCGCCCGCGGTAAACTTGGAGATAAGGACCGAGGTATTAGCCTCTTCTTCTTTTTCCTCTCCGCTTCACGCTCTCTCCTTCTACAGACGAACTCGTGTTGGAATCATTAATTCCACAAATACATCTACTGTCAATATGGAAACCGCGGTCAAGCGCTTCTTCTCCTCCCCCCGCTTCGCCGTCGCCGGGGCCAGCAACGACCCGGCCAAGTTTGGCTACAAAAGTGAGCCACCCCAATCAATCTATGCCATGAATAACCTATTAACACACGTCAGTCCTTGCCTGGTACCACCAGCACTCGCTGCCCGTGACCCCCCTCAACCCGCGAGCCGCGGAGATCTCTCTTCCCTCGACTTCGATAAAAACTGAGCCCTCCCCTTCCGCGCTACCAAACCCGAAGCAGACTTCATTGTCCGTGGTGACCCCACCACCCGTGACGCTCAAGGTGCTTGAAGAGGCTCACTCGGTAGGCATTCCGGCGGTGTGGTTGCAGCCGGGAACCTTTGATGATAGCGTGTTGGGGTATGCACGAGAGCACTTCGAGGCCGTGATTGCCGGCGATGGTGGACAAGGCCATGAGGGGTGGTGTGTGCTTGTGGATGGTGAAGACGGGCTTGCTGCCGCTGGCAAAAACTGGACAAGCCAGCGGCTATGATGTGTGTACTGATTCCATATGAGAGTGAGAGAGAGAGTAATTTAACTCCAGAAACCGATACGAAGTAGTGACTTGGGTGTTGTTGTAGTAACCCACTAGTGTCATCATTAGTGCCTCAACTTTCTTTTTTCTCTCTTTCCTCTCACTCACCAACCACCCCGGGGGAGAATCCTCCTCTTCCCCCTTTTCATTATTTGCTTTTCGCCAGAATGCCCGACACCAGCATGCCCTTCTTCAACTTCGAGTCGCCTGCGCCGCCCAAGCTGGATCTCTCCAGCGCACCCGAACCACTGTTCCAGGTGCCAAACTCGACTTCCGCGACTTCATCCCTCTATCACTCCATCGGGCGTAAGCGTTCTCGACGTGACACAGAGCCTCTGGAGCCCCGTCTGCAACCCCCGACCGAGCTGGTCCGGTCCACGCCGCTGCTCCGCGATCCGACCCAAACAAGCACGTCATCAACAACGGCAGACGAGCACCACTCAGCCGAGCTCGACTACCGCCAGAACAGATACCGCGAATCCTTCCTACCCCCTTCTCTTGACGCCAGCGTGGATTCCCTAGCGCCCGCCGAGCCCAGCGGCAACAGCCGCAAACGCAGCCGGCGCGACTCGTGCGTCGCGTCCCCCAGTATCGATGGCTCGGATCCCGCAACCCCCGTGGGCTGGGGCCGTACGGTGATCAACGCCGTCGGCAAGGTCCTGGACTTGTGCTGGTCCGGCGCATTCCGCGGGTTCTACGCAGGCGGCGGACGCGGCTACGATATGGCCGCCGGGCCGGGACAACAACTCGATCCCAGTACATGGCAGTCACCATCTTCTGTCGAGAAAGACAACACTTTCAGGTCGCACAACAAAGTTCATTTGACTCCGATCCCGGGCCAGTATCCCGAGGAAGACGTCGACCGGAACTGGGTCGTCGTGCCAACCGAGTCCCAGGATCCATTCGTCGACACTGGCAGTCCTTCTCTACGCGCTCGCAGGGCTTACCAAGCGTCCAGTCCTCGTCGACGGCCAGCACAGATTCCGCGTCTGAACAAACGAGCTGCGTATTCCTCCGGTGCGCGACCCTCCACGCCAACCAGGAGCCCAACGAAGAGTCCAACGAAGAGTGCAGGTTTGCCATCACCTCGATCCAAAGATACCCCGGGCTCCGCGGAAGTGCAGCGATATGCGGCGCAGCTTCGTCGCAAGGAGCGCCAGGAAGATGCCAGTATCCGCCGGCTGAACAAGCAGTTGCAGAATATGATACGGGAAGGCAAAGAGGCGCTAGGGACGACGGTGGACGTGGGTGATCTGGACATGGAGGACTACGACTGACCTCTCATGCAGTCGTCAGTCATGGTCTGCTCTTTCTTTAGTTTTGTTTTCGTTTCTTTGGATTTGGTCTTCTCGCATGGATTGATTTGATACCCCCAACGGCGCTCGTTCACTGGGAATAGGCGGCTTTTGCGTGCAGCAGGACGAATTACGATCTCGGTGTTTTCTTGCTCTGTTTTGCTTTGGTTCTTCCAGCTGCGGCTGCTTTGCTTCGTCAATATAATGACAATCCCCTCAATTCGGGCTTTCTTCTGTCTTTGCCCTTCTCCAAAAATATGGCGTAGTATGTTTATCCGGGAAATCATCTTCTGACATTGCAGCTCACGTTCAACAATAACTACAGCAGCAGAATCAACATCGAAAAAGCTATCCCCGTCACCACCTCCCTAACCCATCTCGTTCTCTCTCCTTCCATTACAGATGACAGAACCTGTAGGACCTTCCAAGAACAGATTTATGCTGCAGGAATAATACCTTTGAGCCGGCCGAGAACACCGTTCTTGAAGAGAACATCGAGTAGCGTGGCGCCCTGGATAGGTGTGGCACGGGCTTCATTCTCATGCTTCTGCTCCTCGTCCCGGCGTTGCTGAAGCAGTATTAGCACATTTTTCCCCCTCACACTCAATGGGTACATACCAACTCTGGGGCGGCTTCATCTAGGAGAGCGCTGAAGCTGTCCGCCTCGCGCTTCTTGTCTGCATCATCGGTCTTCTTCGGAAGCTTTGTTAGCAGTAGTTGTTTTGGAGTATGGATGGCAGAGACTTACCGAGTCAAGGATGGACCCGATGAGGGGGAGATTTCCAGTAATGTCTGACAGACCCAGATCCCTCGCATGCTTCGTTGTCTGGTGCTCCGTGCCCTTTTTGTTTTCCTTTCCCTTTTTCTGGTCACCAGCCTGTTATTACGTTAGCGCTACTTGGATCTATCTGGATTTGGGCATCACGTACGGCAAGAAGAGGACCCAGGATGGGCAGGCTGCCTAGGATATCCGCCCGGGGTTCAAGATCCTGGACTTCTCTCTTCTTGATAATTGAAGTCAATCATTAGCAGAAGTTGGAGTTGATTACCAGGGAAGACAAAACACGTACACGGAGGAGGCCGCCGACGATGGGGATGCCAGCCAGTATATTCCCCTTACTACCCTTGTCAGCCTCATCGCTGTTGCGGCTAGTCAGACCGCCCAGCAGCTTGGCGACACCGCTATCCGAGCCGCCGAGGAGATTACCATCTCCATCTCGAGGGATGACCGCATTCTACATGGTAATAGTTAGCATATTACATATCAGAACCATGAGGAAGAAGAGCACATACACCCGGCTGCGAAACAGGTGCCGCAATACTCGCAGCGGCGAGAAGAGTGAGAGCAATGATAGACTTGACCATATTGGCGATTCTCCGAGTATCTGGTTGTATAAATGAGAGGAAGCGTCGGCGAACGACAAAGGGCGACGGCGTGGGCTGGCGAGCTGGCGTTGAGAAGCAACAATAATGAGCGAGGGAAGGGACGGGTATTAACGAGTGCGTACGGAATGCGAAATCAAACGAAGAAAATGGCATTCTCGTAGCTTTTATACAAATTCCACTGCGCTACTCCAGGAATCCCAGGGGGGCGGGAGGGAAAGCTTAGATTCCCTCCCATCGCTAACCCTACAAACAGCGCTGTTCGGCACCATCCCTTCCGAGGAATGTAGCGAATATCGGGATGCGCTCTCTAGCCCATCACTAGAATGCTTCTAGCTTGATATCAGAGTGAAGTCGGTGTCGATCTTGGATAGAAGGGAGGCAAGGGGTGATCGGCGCTGGTCGTGGGAGTTGGGTTGGGTTCCTGGGCGAGTGTAGCTGCCCTGTCTGTCTGTTCCTGGACTCTCTCAGGGATTGGGCTTTCTGATCCTCTCTGGGACATATTTTTAACTCCTGGACTGGGGATGGATGGCCTTGATCTCAAGCATCCCCTGCAGTGATGAGGTCAAGGGGGGAGAGGGTGAGAGTTAGGGCTAAGTGGCCACACCTCCTTCCTACGGATATGATGAGGTAAGAATAATCCGAGTGCTACGTTTTGCAATAGAAGGATCATGCACAAGGTCATTTGATGTTGGTCTGTGGAATTTGCGTGATAAACAATATTCTTATACTGCGCGATATACTAACCCCGGCTGGGTCATTGTAGATACATGCAGTATTGGGACTTCAGCGATACCCCCTTTGCAGACCGGGCCAAGGTTTTGAGAAATATATATCTCTTGTCCTTCAACACACCGGGACGTTTTTCGTCAACTTCGCTTATGTACTTGAATCCCAATCTAGTCCCTCATAGACGCGACCGGCTTCTTTCGGAGCTAGAGAGAATACTCTGAAGAACCCCTTCAGCGGTTTGGACAGCCTCAATGGCCATACCATATCCAGCTTGGAACCCGGTTCCTCCAGCACCATAGTTATGAACAATTACCCCTTTTCGTTTCCCGAAATTAAGGGCGATCTCTTCCATGGCAACCCGTGCACCTCCCTCTCTCGAGGGGCGCAGCCCTGCAAAAACGGCGAGTGGCTCTGTCATTGGAGAATTGAGATCAGGAAGCAATGCTTTCGTTCGTGACAAAATAGATTCCGTCTCCTCTTTGAAGGTATCACCTGTGCTATTCATACTGGTAAGTTCCTAGAAAGAGATAGTAGAGAATTTGGGGAGAGGGACTCACCTAACTCCTTTTTGCATGAAGCCTCCCAGTATGACATTACCATTTGAGCCCGGCCGAGGAATAATATAGGTCTCGTAGTCTTTTCCATGTCGCATTATATTGCGATTAACATGCCCAGCTCTTGCTAGTACGACCTGTCCTCTGGTGGGAAAACACTTGGAATCTTCAACACCAGGCAGAACTCGAGCACCGTTTCCTGTGCAGTTGAAAACAAGTTGTGTATCTTGGCTTAAGAACGCCGACTGAATATCTGGAATCTTTTTGCGAAGAACTTGGATACCATAGTCAAGACGAAGCTTCTCAATAAGATAACGGATGTGCATGGGCGCATTCAGTGTCACAGTTGTGAATTTAACACCAAATGCCACCCCTTCAGGTAAATCCGTCTTGGGGATGACGCAAAACTAAAGTCAATCAGCTTAGTTGTACTGTGGATTCAGGCACTTCCGAAGCATTGGCATACATCTTTGAGATAATCTGCCATGGAGTTCAGCTTTTCCTGAGAAGGCATCTCATCCCAGTACTCCGTGGAAGTAGTCTTCTGAACAAACGCTCTAGTCCCATTTTGAGCAGCGAGGCGAAGTAGATATTTGTAGCCGATTTTGTCCCAGCGCAAAGCTTTCTGATCGCTCGAGGAAATGGCGGAGAAGTTCGCGCCAGCCCTGAAGGTTCGGTTATTCAAAGTTCGTATTCAGTGCAGTGCCTAGGCTCATGCTGACCATGGTGAGGTGTAATTGACAGATGTGTCCCCTGGAAGATGCTCAGCAATGATAGTTGTGTACTTTGCAAGACCCTTTTCTGCGAGCGCCAAAGCGACATCAAGGCCAATGACCCCAGCACTGAAAAGCAATATTCGGATTAGACAATGAGAAAGGCCGCTTCAGATCTACCAGAGACTCACCCGAGAACGACAATAGTTTCGCTCTTCATTATGGTAACCACTGAATTTCCCAATAATCAAGTGTGATTTTTTTTCCCGGTAATAGGATTTATTTAGACGCTGTGGACGTGCCAAATTATCGTCGAAGTTCACGAATCAGTCTCCCTCGCCAGAGCTACTCCGATTGGCGGCATTCATCCTCGACCCCCGTCGGCGTCGCTTTTCATTGGCCGATAGTCGGCGATACCGGGCAACGTTCCAGCCATCGTCCCACGATTTCTTAGGGGCCGCAACATTTTCGCAGTCATATTTCATGCCTCAAGATAATAAAAAGAGTCCAGAACACGTCAAGTGGTATTTCGTGGGATTATCGAGGAAAGAACACAGTAGAACATCCACTGATAAGAAAAGAGATGATTAATTGAAGCTAGACATGGGAGAGAGTTGTGCATGTAGATAACCGACTTCATGTGCCCAAGACGGTGATGGGTATTCAAGTTGCTAGAGAATTCACAACAAGAAAAAGAATATATATATTGAGTCTGATGATGATGCCAAAATATGAAACTATTCACTAGACTTTCCATTTCCCACACGATCGGAGGTATCCGCTGCCGCGTAAGTTCCTACCGGTACACCTTCAAAAAGACGTTGCGCAACCGGGTCGAGGGAATCACTCTTTCGAAAGCAAATGAAAAACAAACATCCTGCCACAAACCCAACAATTGCGAGTGACCCATACATCCAAACAAGATAAGGATCTTGTGAAACCGGACTTAAACCGATGCAGATTGCAGCAGCAATGCCAATCGTAAGCCAGAAAAGGGCCGAAATTACAGACCTCAGACTATAGGCGCGACCTGTCAGCACAGTTGGATTCTCCAAATCCGCGATAGGAGGAACTTACTTTTTAGGCGCATGCGTAAATGCAAGTTCAAGACCGGTGACAATGATAAAGGCCTCTGAGAAGGCGACGAAAATATATGCGGGGGCTTGAATCCACACATGTATACTGTTCGGAGGAGAGATGTAGATGTAATGTTGCAAGACGCTAGCATATACCATTGAAAACGAGGCCAGAAGGAATCCAGTGAAAATCCGGCGCACTGGACTGAAGTTGATTTTGAATTTGCGAAGCATTGGATAGATCCCCACTATGAAGAATAAGATTTCGATCGTCGGGGGAATTTAGACAAACGAAGGAAATGTAGTACTTACAGTCAAGTAGCGGGATGAAAATGCACAGGGCAATTGGGTCTAGGTTCTGAAGGAGGTCGTTCGGGGTCCCATGCAGGGCCATTTGCCCGGCTTGAGAAATGAGATTGTTCCAGATCTGGATCCAACAGATAAAATAAAAGGGAAAGAAAATAAACATCTGAGCTTCGTTAGTGATATGACAACATTCTCATTTGCGGTTTAACTCACCCTGCAGCTCATGAAGCCTCGACGAACGTCTGAGACATACTCATCTGTATAATGAGGAGCCAGTGCGAACGGATACTTATTCAAGTTTCCTGATTCCTGAAGAGCCGAGGGCATTGCATTTTTGAAATGCTTCTCCTGGCGGACAATATTCAATACACGGCACGCGTCGATGATAGCTGACCCCTTTGGTGGAATCTTAACGTAACGTTTTTGACCCGCCAAAAACACAACTCCCGACAGTATAATGGCTCTAGAAACGGGTTAGATAGTTTGCACATGTTAATCTTGACATGCTCTTACATCAAAGGTATTAGATAGGCCAGCCAGAATGACTTCTTCGCCTCGACATTGACCGTAATCAAAGGCGAAAGAGCTCCGACATTGACTACCCAGTAGAACCACATGAAGAGGCGTTCGACAGTTAGTTCGGGATCCACAATGACCTGTTCCCCTGACTTGAGCGTTTTCACTACAGGCTCTGCATTCTGGTACTGCTCAGCACACATCGGCGTCACATTCGCCTTGATGCCACCTGTGCCTAGACCAATGATGACCATTGCTGCAATAAGGCCTCCAAAGCCAGCGCCGCTTTGAATCCCTTGCGGTGTCGATGTGCTCACCAAAACAATTAGACCAACAATGTATATCGCTAGTGAGACGGCGATGGCTTTGAACTTCCCTAAATACTGATCTGTGGATGTTCAGCAAACCTGACCATGGCTTCTGAGAGAATTTCTAACGGACCTGCCATGATTGCACCTATTATTGTGGACGCATATGCCCAGAATTTGAAGAAGTTCCCCAAGGCTGATGCCACCGCTTGGCCCTTGCCGAGGGCACCTGGCAGATCTGACCCAGGATCATACGGGTTGCTATCGAAGGTGTTCATTAGTATTAGGTGAATAGACAGACTGAATCACACATACTTGATATAGTTTTGAATAGGTCCACTCAGCCCGAAGTAAGTGAATCGTTCACCCAACTGTCAATGTTAGCGACCCAGTACTCTCAGATTGTTGGACCTCGAGGGTAACTCACCTCGACAATAAGGATCAGCAAGGCCACGGGTGGAAATTTATCAGGGACGCGACGGAGCCCACTCAGCGCCGCTGGTGACGGTGCTGCTCCGGAGTCGTCGAGGGTTTTCCCCGGGAGATCGTGTAGCGCACTGTCCATTTTAGACTCTCAGCCAGGGGGAGTCGTTTACAGGTGTTTCCTTTAGTCTCGTCTCCAAAGACCGGCTGTCAGAAGACCATGTCCCATTACACCCAGAAGCAGGGTAGATGGGTTAATTTAACCAAACATTGGCCCAGCAGAATCTGGGGTGCATGGTCCACATCGGTTCAACAGGAGGCCTTCCCCGCTGATAGGAGTATCCACTCCACCCGTGCCTATCGGGCCCTAGATCGGACCTGGTAATAGGTTCCTGAATGCCGCCAATTGGACCACAGGAAAATAGAATGGGAATTTCCTAGAAGTTTGGAGTTTTATTCTCATTTCTTCAATCGCGTAAGTCTTCAAAGCTGGAGAAGTTCTTCTAACACTATTTGTTTCACCCTCCATATTTTGACCTTTCACCCGAAAGGGCCTCAACATGGCAAGTACGAGTACAACCATAATGGTCACAGAGCCCAATCTTCAAAAGGCTCGACTATCCATCCCCGAAAAGCTATTGCGGGGACTGGATCCCGAATGGGTTGATCTTTGGGAAACTCATGGAAGCTCAATGGTACGGGCAGACGAGGTGAGCATTGAAGAATACCGGAACAGTCCGGCGAAGTACAGCTTCACATATCCTACGTTTCCAGGTAAGTGATAGCCTTCCACGATTTTACTTTTTGTATCTATGTTTCTAAAACTCGTGTTCCTCTTCTAAGGGCCGTCCGTTTTTCATGTTGAGGATCTGGAGATCCCTGTTTCACAGCCAGCCGGGGAAATTACAATTAGGGTATATACCCCAGAGGGCCCTGGACCATTTCCCGTTCATTTGAATTTCCATGGGGGTATGTTGTATTCATCATAAATTGCAAACCATGACGACTCTAATCCATTTCTCTTTTCTCAGGCGGCTGGGTGCTTGGAAATCTGAACAGTGAAGCGGCATGGTGCCGATATATGTGCAACAAGGCTCAAATCAAGGTCATTGATGTGGATTACCGACTTGCCCCGGAGTTCCCGTACCCGACCAGCATCTACGACTCTTGGGACGCAGTCAAGTGGGTAAGCACAGTCTCGATTAAAGGCTAACTGGAGAATCGTTGGTGACGGATTGTATTATACAGACGATTGCCAATACCACCAAACTCAACATCAACCCCTTGAGCGTTTCCATTGGCGGTCTTTCAGCTGGAGGCCATATGTCAGCAGTCATGGCCCATTTCGCCCGCAACGAAGGAGTGGACCTCAAGCTCCAGCTACTTATTGTGCCAGCAACGGATATGCGCTATTGTCTGAGAAATCGTCCACTCAACAGGGAAACTTGTCCATATGAAAGTGTTTTGCTGTATCATGATGCACCGTGGGGACCTCTGGGCAGAGAACAGTGGTTTCTCAAATACTGGCTAGGCGATGACAACGGTGAGGCTCGGATATTGCTCAGCGTCGAATGATTTGCTAACCGTTCACTAGATAAACAAGAGAGAATCCTGACTCAAGATTGGATCTGCACCCCAGTACTGGCTCCTTCATTTGAGAATCTCGCACGAGCGCACATTATAACGGCGGAATTTGATCTCGAGCGGGATGAAGGCGAGTTCTATGGGGCTCTCATGAGAGAGGCTGGAAATGAGGTCACGATCAAGCGATACCCTGGAGTCCCGCACGCCTTTGGCCAATACAACCACCCCGATAGAGGGTTATCCCAGAGCTTTGCGTACATCGAGGACACGTGCAAAATTCTCCGGGAAGTCCATTTCGGAAAGGCTACTAAGTAAGTGACTTGCCGACCGATCTATATAGCAGTCCGGAGAGGTTTTGCACATTGAAAATGAATCTACCGTGTATATTTGTTTTAGAAAAAAAAGAATTGCTGCAGAATAGCTAGATAGAATGCACCACTGAACATTTTGGCTCATTAGTTGAATTTCCCGGAGCGTCCTCAAGAGTAAAAAGCATGGCGCTGCGGGTCCGGGATAAATTCCGGGATAAATTCCGTGACTAATAGTTCGAACACGCGGAGAGCAGTTATCTCAGTGACTTCACCGAAACATCCACCGGCTGTCTGAGTACTAAGATAAGAGGAGAGCGTTATCAATTTAGGCCGATAGAGCCGATGTTCTTCTCCACCTCAAGCTCAGGCTTATCGACCTGAGGTCACATTTGCAGAGAGCCTCTCCCACGGTTGTGCGGCCATGTTGAGTCAAGGCCGCAAATATATGAGCAAGCGTAACCGAGCTTGCGACTCCTGTCGGGCGCGGAAAGCAGCATGCCGCATCGACAGTGAGCCTCCTTGTTATCTCTGTACACTCCACAGAAAAGAATGCACCTTCCAACATCCCACAAACCGACCGCGGCGAGCTATTGAGCACACGTCCAACCCAAGTGGGATCCAAGGATCAGGAATCAGCCCAACCGAAGCACAACATATGGCTTCACCATTGGATGGCTCAATGGCATTTGACGCGTTGATGCCGAGTCACAACGAAGAAAGTGCAATCCAAACCCCCAGTGGCCCTGGAAATATGGAAGGGATCTTTGGTGAACACCTCACCTCTTTCTCAGGAGGCTTTGGCGACAGGATGTGGCCTCCAGGATTTAGCCCAGGAAACTTTGTTTATCCATCTCCTGGAATGCCCGATTTTCCCTGCCCTGACGACAGTCCAGCAGACAACACGCAGGGAACAAGAGGTGAAGTCTCTCTCGACTCTGAAGATTCCAGTTCTCCGTTGCTTCTCGGCTGTAGCGGTGACATGGATCCGTTTCTTTTACAACAGTACCGCTTTGACTCGTCCGGCAATTTTCGTTTCAAAAATCTTGAAATCCAGTCCGTGAGCCTGGAAGAATGTCCGGTTCAATTCCTACTTGCCCAACCATCAATATTTTCCGTTGGCAGGGAAGAGACTGGATGCGACTACCTACCCGCACAACAGCAGAGAGTTAACCTCGAAACCATAGTCTCAGCGGACATCGGACAGTGCTTGATTGATCTTTTTGAAAAGATCGTGATGCCGCAATATCCCATCCTAAGCTCATCAAAACAATTAGACCCACGGTCCAGTCCGCCGCATCTTCTAGCTAGCGTTTACCTGCTGGCAGAGCCCTTCACCAAATTTCATGAAAGACTATGCATCGATCTTGCCTACGAGAAACCCTCTGCGAAAGCGCTATATAAAATAATCAACGACGCACTTGCATATGAGACACATGCACCAACCATTCCAACCATACAGACAATGCTTCTACTGGTCATCCGACCTCCTCCCAACCCGATTGTGCAGGATAGCGGTTTCAGATGGGCCCAACTCGGTACACTTGTCTCCTGTGCCCATTCGTTAGGATTGCACCTTGATCCGAAGTCGTGGCGAATACCACCATGGCAAATTTCGCAGCGGAGGCGCCTGTCATATTGCGTCTACACGGTCGATAAATGGCTTGCGCTCAGTCTTGGCCGTCCACCATTGCTTAACTCCGAAAACTGGCTTGTGACTACGATTGAGTCTGCAGACCAGCTCGGTAGCGGCCTAAGTTCCCATGCATGGTCGACAGTCCTGAAGCAATCTGAACTAGAGTCTCTTCTTGACCAAACAATCACTCAGCTTTAGTGAGTTTTCTGCGACTGTGCGAACGCCACCTGTGACTGACAAATTTCAGCGCACCTCGTGCTGTTCAAAGTTTGTGTACAGACTATGAGAAGACGCTCGCCGCAGCTGAACCCTTAATCCATGAGATCACCTCATGGCACCATCAAAACAACCCCAATAAGACGGAGCGTATGCTGGAGATGAGTTACCATTATATCAAGCTCAGTATCATACGCGCAATTTTCAGGCCATTCAGTCAGTCCTCGATAAACCACAATCAATCATCGGATATCCTTGTCGTGCGTGAGCAAGCTCGCATCCGGGCCCAACACAGTATATCCGCTGCTGTGGCATTTGTTCATGACTTGAGTCCCAATGATCTGGAAACACTATGGCCCGCCTGGGCCGCGACGGCATTCTCGTCTATCTGCTTCCAAATATTGCTCATGGCCTTCATATCCTTTGACACAGCCGAGGCTACTTCATGGGTGAACATCTTACACCAGGTACGCCGAGACATGCGCCTCAAAGCTGATGTTCTGCCTTGCCTTCGTCTTGGACTATTGCGAATCGACTCAATATTTTGGAAAGGTGTAGACAGTGTCTTAAAACTAGACGAACACGTCAGAGAAGCATTCTTGTAATACGAAATCTCGGCATCATGCAGGAATTGATAGGGTCATCATCTAGCTATACCGCTCCGATAAGATAGCCATTTGGTAGAAGTAATTACTCAATGGCCTCGGATTTTCTAGCGGAAAAAATGGCTCGAATCGCCTGTGATGATCAACCGACAGTTGACCTCGTCACTAAGGATACCCGCCAAGTGTATACAAAACTTCGCCATGTCGATATCGCTTGCGCGATCAAAACAACTCGCGAGCATAACTAACTGTAGCATGAAGGCTGGTTGCATTAAACACCTCCGGATTATCAAAATTTGCTCGATACAAGTACGTGCCGACTCCAATCAGCGACTATGGTGAGGTTAAATTCCAAAGTTGGAATTCTACCCTGGCCGAGACGAGACCCAATCGATATAAGTGGAACGTGTACAGAATCGATAACGAGAGCAATGGATTGGTGGAATTCAATGTAATCAATTGGTAAGATGAATTATGCTAACTATATAGTCAAGACTGACAATGCACAAACCGGAGTAAAGAGAAAAGCAGAAGAAAATATCAGCAGTACGTAGGTTTCTCCGCTGAATTCTTCTCCGGACTGAGCACACTCGGCAAGCTAGGAGCGTCCAGCCTCATGCTGCATCCGACCTTGTTGTCCCACAGTAGTCGAGAATGCTCTGTATGTAAGTCCGTGGGTAACTTTGTAATGTCGTCGTAGTTTGAATGGTTTGGCATACCGGGTCGCTGTCTTACAACGAGCGTATCGGCAGTAGGATTCACCGTGGTAGATCACCGGGTTATCCGAATAAATTCGTGGCGGTCGCAGGGCATGTTTCGTGTCCAACTGCAAGTACCGTTTTCCCCCGTTACATCTTGCGAATAACAGCTCAGCCGTTGATTTCGAATGGAAAGCGAATAATTGACTTACCTGAAAAGCACGTCGAGGAAAATGGAGACCGTCAATACAGTAAGGAAATCCATCTGTAAATTTGACGGATTCAAAAAAGCAAGCAGGCGAGGTGCAGATGTCGCCAAGCAATCGATTCCTAGAGAAGAACAACGTGTGGGCTGAAAAGCTTGATCTCTTCCTTGAAAACGCATGATTCGAGGATATGCTGTGCAGGATCTGCTTGAAGAGATAGTTTCTCCCTCTCGTTCCATGAATCGGCATTGGGCATCATCTGTAGCCTTTCTCAGTCGCGGAGTTTCCTTTGCAAGATCGCCAGACGAGATCCGTGAGAGCACCACGGCGCGCTCTAGAACGATGACCGACGTCTGGGATGGGGGAACGCAAGCCATGCTGGCAGAACCCCACTGGCCGGTGCCAGAGCTGGGGAAAGGCAAGCCGTTCTGGGAGAAGGGCGTAATCACGAGGGAAGAAGTAAGAATCGGATGGAGACATGCCGAAATGACTTCAACCTCGATGAAAGGCTGGCTCGCCGCCGATCTGACACGCCATCGTGTTGGTCGGTGTGTAGGCACCGAGCAAGGTCGAAAGTGTCCGTTCTCCGTATGTATTTGGGATTCGGCATTGCACAGCGGTTCTGGAGATGTTGCCTCACTTCCCTCTGCCGGGAGTATAGATATAGATATAGAAAATGAGGGAGAAAGATGAAGAAGAGAAGGAAGAAGAGTTCGGACGCGGGAGGAAGTTGCTGGCGACGGCAGCGACCCAGATCGTTCCTTCCTCATATCGTTACCGCGGCGGACAGCGACAACGGAAGAGAAATAGTGTTAGATCCTATTGTTTGAACGCCTATTGTTTGAACGCCTATTGTTTGAACGCCTATTGTTTGAACGCCTATTGTTTGGACGCCTATTGTTTGAACTCCTAATCCTAAGCCTTTCATAATACATCATTGACCCCAGAGTTCAGCGGCGCCTTCTCCTCGAGGGCCCCGGAGCGTATTCGGACTCGGTGCTGTCGTCCTGGTCTTCATCGGTGGTGTCCTCGAGCTCAATAGTCTCTTTGTCAATTGCCTGGACTTGCGATGGGCCAGCGACATGGCTTCGATCATCTAGGTGATGGTCTTCCACGATCAATGGATTATCCACAGCGTCGTCATCCTCACCTGGAAGAAGAAATCCCCCACCGTGGTCTATAGGGTTTTTGTCTTTGTCGTCACCCTCGTCTTCCTCATGGATCTCAGCTCGGCTGCTATTCCGATTGGCAAACGGATTATGTGCATCACGCTCCCGGTCCTTGGCAGAATCACCACCACCATACTCCTCACGAACACGCTCAACAATGCGTAACCCAAACAAGAACTTGCGCCAGGTCTGCAAGATCTTCTTCTCGGCCTTGAGCTGCTCACGCTTCTGTCTCTCCGCAGCATCCACGCGCCAGGCATCTTTCAGCAGTGACTCGTTCTCAGCGGCGACAACAACACCTTGGATCACGGGTACGGCCATCTTCGACCCAAACTCAAACCCCGTCACGGCCTCCGCATAGTCGATCCCCAGCTTCTTGCAGACTCGCACAGTTCCCGGCCAGGGAACATGCGCGGCGCCCTGTGGCACCATGCTCGGCACGAAACAGTCGATATTCCCGTAGTCGTTTTTGGGGATGATTCCGTCCTGAATCGGGGGCGGGATGATGTATTCGGTCTGGTCGCGCGCGTACAGTCCCTGTAGGGGTTTCTTACCTGTCTCACGCTCTAGCTCATCGACTTCGCGTTTGCGGATGAGTGTCACGGCCCGGATGGGTACTCGCTTGAGAGGCACTGCGCCTGTGCAGACCTGGCGTCCTTCCTTGTGCCAGCTTTCTGCAGACATACACTTCACCACGTCGGCGCGTCGATAGACCGGTTCTTCTTTGGCCCGGGCGCCTTTGCCGGCGATGAAGGTGCGGACGGACTCGGCTCCAGGTCGCAGAGCTTCCTCGCGGCGGAGGAATCGTTCAAGCACGAACTCGGTGGATGTGCGTAGGCTCTGTAGCGTGTCACCTGGCTGTGCGGGTTTCTTTTTCTCTTGTTGTTTGCGTTGCAAGTCCCGGCTGTCTTCAATATCATCTACCGCAGTTCTGTTGTCTGGGTGTCGTGCGTATCCGCGCATCGTCACTCGGAACCAATCGTATTCAAAGTACTGGCCCCGGCGGCCAGGAATGGGGATCTTCTCCACGGGCATCCGAAATCCCTTGGTCTTGCCGGGCCATGTCCGTCGTCGTAGATACCGTGTCGTAACATCCTTGGCGGTCCCATCAGCGGAGTGTGCTACCACATAGCAAATTACCTGTTTCGCTCTCTCGGCCTTAGCGCCGCGCGGTTCGAACGCGGCCTGAAATTCTGGAGTAGTTGCCACAGGGTTGGAGAGGACCAACGGGTCGACAGGGATGATTTCGTGAGTGACCGGTGATGCGACTTCCGTCCAGTAGATGGGAAACGGCAGGTCCTGGTCGTATCGACAGGGTTGTTTTTTGCTTGGTGGCTGTTTCTGTTCGGAATCACTGTCCGACCCTTCAGGCACCGATTCACTCTGAGGACCTTCCTCTTTGGGGGGGGTGTAGATCTCGGCTTTGGTCCAGCCGAACCCCAATGGCTGCAGACTGCCAACCAGTCTCGCTTCAATGCCCAGCGCCCGGATGAGGGCGGTGAAGAGCTGAGCACCCACATCCCGTGAGCCCTGCATATGCTCCGCGGCGGAGCGGAACTCATCGACGCCGCAAATGCGTTCTCCGTGCTGCTCCGGGTCGTGTTCTTCCTGGCGAAACGCAGAGAGGATGGCTTCAAGGGAGGCAACCGGTCTGTACCCATGTTTGCGTAAACCCGGCGCAGTAATGCAGAATTGCTTCTTCCAGTACGCGACCAGCACCTTCAAAAGAGGGATGATGGGATCTCCCCGACTCATATCCGGCTGTCCAGGCTCTAACCTCTCCGAGTCTTCGCCCCAATCTTTGTTCTTTTGAGCCTTTTTGCCTTTCTTCTTGCCCTTGGGTTCTGGCTTGGGCTCTGGCAGTTCGAGTCCGGATGCAATGCGCCATTTTTTGACCTCTTTGTGGATTCCATCTGGCAGCTTGCGACGTAGAATATCGTGAACCTCGGCGTCATTGGTCCATGCGTTGCGAATCGCATTATGGAAGAGCAAGCATTGGACATGCATGCAATGACTCTGAATGCGGATCTGCCGCTCGATCTTGGTCGGCCCTTTCTTGCTGTCTAGGAGGTCGACCGTCTGCACGTCGTTCTTGTCCAGAGTCAGCTCGAGATCCTGGAGCTCCGGACCTGACGTTGCGGGTGTCGTCGCGCTCGTGGTCTTGGTGTCTATAGCATCCTCCCAGTCGATGTCCTCCTCCTCTGAATCTTTGTCATGGTGATCAAGCTCCTCGGGCGCGTCGCTCAGCGAGGAGTCTGAATCGGAGTCCGCATCGGATTCGGGGATGACAGGTGTAGGCTGGTCCTGGTCGTCCGGCCGGAGACGCTTGGCCGGGGGCGGATCCTCAGAGGAGAAGCGCTTGCGAGGGACGAACGGCGGCATGCGCAAGTGGGGGTGGAAGGAAGTGTTGGAGACGGAAGGGAAGGCGGAGATGCGCGATGGGGAAGAATGACATCAGCCGTAGAATGTGCAATAGATTCAACAACAATAGATCGAATCAGATTAAAACTATGGTAGTATAATAGAATACACTCCTTAATATTTATTATAATTGTTAATTTGTCATGTTAGATACTTAACGTTATAATTGCATGAGGCTATCTTGGGCTTCAAAATACTTCTTCGGCCAGAAAGCTTGCTCGAAAAGCAAAAAAGAATCGACCGACGCAGGGCTCGAACCTGCGATCTCCCGCATCGGAAACGGACGCCTTACCACTAGGCCAGTCGGCCGAAGAGTGAAAGAATTCAGCGAGCAATTTCTGAAGTCCTAGAGAAATTTTAGAGCGAGATGTTGCGTACCCAAGGAGAAACGCTGATATGGACGCGGAGATCCGGTATACTTTATATTAATGTTAATTTTTTGGTATCTACGTATTCTGTAGTCATTAATGCATAATGTAAATTAATTTCATGATCTGTAATAGCGTGGTTGTTGAATAACACAAAATGGTTATATGGGTGGAATCAGAAATATATTTTGGGGACGATGTCTGCAGGAACTCAAGTCCGAGTACACAAGCAGAATTGAAACAAAAAAAAAAAAAAAAAAAAAAATGAACTACCACCTAGTGTATTGAAGGTCAAGATATATGTTTTCTCAGTCTTCGCCAGGCTTGCAACTACTAAATTTCCAATACCCAATGTTCACCCTTTTAGTTATGTTAGCAGAGATAGAGATATATTATCAAGAATTCATGTTGGCCGTGTAGAACTAGTCTACCTTGATCCTTTCCTTAATCTAATACCTAGCCATATCAACGTATCGAAGTTTTGTATACAACTGGCGGGTATCCTTAGTGACGAGGTCAACTGTCTATTGATTATCACAGGCGATTTGAGCCATGTTTCCATCAGATATTCTAAGGCTGTTAAGTAATTGCTTCTACTAAATGGCTATCTTAGATACTTCGGATAGAGCTAAAATTTTGCTTCAATTGTCGATGTCGATGCCGTGCGTTGTTTGGATGCCTTCCATTCGATTGGTCCCCGTATAGTTGGTTGAGGAACCCATAGGAGCTCTCCCAATCTAAATTGTCGGTCAACGATGCATCACTAAAAATATTGACAGCATGCGTAATGTCAGGTGGCCACCATACTATAGGGCTGGGCCACACGGATACTTCAAGGTTTGGTTAAATGCGTATATTGAGACTCTACTTGGTTTCTTTCCGTGGATAAGAAGAGCTGCTTCATATTCTGAAATTTCACTATCATAGTACAAAAAACCCCCCACTCTCCCTTTTTGCTTTCCCTGACTCCATCTGAACTTCATCGATAAGAGGCTCTCACATGCTGGTTGGCATTGGGGACATCGATTTCTTTTTTCAACCACGCAAGATCAGCTTTACGCACATAAACCAGACGGTTGCCATCCTTGTGCTTCTTCACCAGCCTGCCCCAGGCCTGTGTCCCTTGGCCTCCAGATACACCTGATCCCCTATCCGTGATGATCGTACCCATGGTTTCATGACCCACGATTATGAGTCCATCTCGAGCGCGGCTGAGGCTCACACACTGTCGATTGCGATCGGTTATGAACCCCATGCCCCACGGGTGTCCCGGCCGAGTCGTTGACAAGACGACGTAGGGGCTTTCCGCCCCCTGAGCAGCATCAACACTAGATATGCGGATGTTCTTATGCCCTAGCTTCTCATGGATGAGTTTGCGCAAGAGGTTCCTTTCCTCACTGTAAAAGGAAAGGATAAGGATGGATGTCTGTTTGCAGCCTTTTTCCATGAAATTTGTAACAAGACGGGCGATGATTTGAATGTAATCAGGGTTGAACACCGAAGTCCCGTTCCTCTGTTTCCATAGGGCTGAGTTCTCGACCGACAGGAAGTAGGAGGTGCCTCGCGCACATTGGGGGAAGAGTTCAGTCACGAAATCTGCAAACCTCTGCATGTTTGGCCTATCAATGCAGGAAAGATCGGTTGTCAGCCTCCCTTCGTAATATTCAGCATTAACGAAGTCGCAGATGTCCTTAGCCATGCGATACTGAACACGGAGGGAGACGGTTGAAACCCCGGAATCGAGCATCCGCTCGAATAGCGACATCTTGTCCGCGTTGTAACACTCGTTTTGGCCTGCAGAGAGCACGATCGGTGGCAGCTGTCTTTTATCCCCACTCAGTATCACCTTGGTGAGGTTTGCATAATTCCTCATGATAGGAATCAGGCAGGTCTGCTCCGTTATCTGTGAAGCTTCCTCCACAAGTACGATCTCTGGTTGGAAAGAACACAGCGACTTTCGACCGGCAGTGGATGCGGTGCACAGCACCACCTTGGCCTTCTTCAAATAGAACTCTTGTAGCGCTAGCCACCATTTCCTGTAGTTCTCCACATGCCGTTTGTGAAGAGTTTGACTCTCATCGTCGCTCGTTTCCCCACGTACCGCTGTGGCTAGTTCATCCTCGTAGTCTGCGGTCTCCCAAAAAGTCTGTGCCTCTCGGCGCAAGAGCTCCTGATAAGTAAGGAATTGAAGAATCAGCATCGACTCCTCGTCCAGCTCGGGCTGCCTAAGGCGACCGGTTCTCACAGCGTTCTCGATGCGCTGAAGAATCCGATTCCCAAGTGAGAACTCGCGATCGGCAGGCGTCATTGCTCTGAGTGCCGACACAAATGCGGTGTGCAGCTCTTTTGGGAATCCACGCTCTATGAGGTCCCTTTCAACCTCGTAGAACTTGGCATCCGCTCTGGGATCCCCCCAGGTTGCCTCGGGTTGCTCTGGGTCTTCATCCAGTAGCGGAGACATCTGCATTTCGGCGGACTCACGGAAATCGGTATCCAATCGGTATACGCTACTGTCTGTGGAGTTGTTGATCTTCAGGATGCTCCTGATACGGTCTGTAATCACATCCAGACCATAATTGGATCCACACACAATCAAGATGGGCTTCCCGTGTTGATGGCAATATTGTGCGATTACCGCAGACACCATCGTCTTCCCTGTGCCGGGAGGTGCCTCAACCAGTCCCATAAAATCCCGAAAAGATGTCTGGGCGTTCAGGGCAGAGCGGACTGCCCGGATCTGTTCTGCATTCAGGGTTCCCTCAGACTGTAGTTCACGCAAGAAGGTTTCGGCTTGGTCGTCAACTTCCAACTCAGGCGGCAGATGAAGTTTGATGTTTTTGTTTTGGTGGCCGAGTAACAGCTGCTTCATTTTGTTGCCTCTGGGGATTTTGAGGTGAGTATTCCCGTACATGGCGTACCTGATAGCCTTTCGCGCTTGAGCCTTAGCCGCCATTGTGCTTCCAAAGTGAACATCGCCTTCCAGTGTTAGAACTTGTTCAATAGATTCTCGGTCTTGGAGCCGCTTAATCCGTATGAATATGAAGTTCATAGACTGTTCCGTTGTGCGGTTGACTGCCGAGGCCGATATGACGGTACCTATCCATGTTCGGCTCCTGGATGACCCTGTCATCTGTAGGAAGGTTTTCTCGACAGGGTTAATCTCCACTGGCGTGCCGGGTTCTGGGAGAGGAAGGATCTGCTCTAGGTTGATGTTCTCGTTGTGTAGCGTATTCACCTCCAGAGCAGCGTAATACCAATCGGACGATCCGCCTTGCTGGGCACTGGATCCTGGTATGGGGTGTAGATTGAATTTGTACCGTCTGTTGAATTGGCTCACGTAGACCACCCCCTCTGCGGCGGCCTCCCGAAGCAGGCCGATCATCTTCAGTACCTCGTATTCCCTTTCATTGACGAATGTTAAAGGGGCGTATGTGGTGAAGCACAACAGTTCCATTCGCGGTTCGTACATCATGTCGCCGCTGGGGGCATTTGGCCAACCCACTCTTCTTTTCCGATGATGCATTTCGATGATTTTGTCAGAGACTTCTGGAATGTCGTCCATCACCGAAAATTTGTCACCTGCCAGAATGTATGAGCAGTTGTAATAGGGGTATGGGGGTGGTGTTGGGTTCGGCATCGCAGAGAATGCATTCCAGCTCTCCGAAAGATGCGATCGACCAGTCGTAATAACCCTGATGGAATGCCCGCGTTGGCCGAGTTCATGGAACTTTTCCACCATCTTCCTCTGTTCGCCATCAAGCGATTCAAGGGCATGTGTTGGAAGATCGTGATTGAGGCAATGAGGGCCATTTTTCCACGTCCAGGTGATGGTGTATGCTTCATTCTCCTTCTTGCCTCGACAGAGGGCGGCCTTCTCCTGGTCAAGCAAGATCTTGGAAATCTCGACCTTCGATAGTCTTGCCGAGAATGTCAATGGTTTCCGAGTATCCACATTGGAGGCGGGATCTCGTTCGTTCCAATTGCTTTCCCCGTCCCATGCCGTCCATACCATTGTGAGCCTAGGTGTAAAATCGTCGCGTACTTTCAGAACGAGATCCAAGTGGAAATGCGGAATCTCTGCTCCTCCTCGCATTGAGAATTCGAGGTGTGCATTTTGAATCGAGGCAATCTTCTCAAATGAAGTCAAGCCATGGGCTTTAAAGAGCACACCGCACCGAAAGCGTTCGAACGCCGATTGGTATGTATGGAGGGAAAGCTGATTAGCCCTGAATCCGCGAATGATGCGGCCCTTTTTTCTGTGGGTGTTGGAATCCACACCCGTGTGGGCATTGTACCATTGCATGTTCGGGGGGAATTTCGTCAGGGCGCTCGTACAATCCACTTTCCCAGTCGAAGCCATAGAGAAGAAATGATAGGGTAAACAGAAGCCGCTGAATAGCCAGTTAGCAACGGAATAACAGAACTTTACCAGTGGGGCATTGCACTTACCTGTCGCTGTTGTTGAAGAAGAAGGAAATCGGGATAGTTGTAAGTGAGTTGAGAGCCGCCCCTACTGTAGCCGGCTGAGAGCGAGATCGTGAGGATATGAATGACCGGGGTTGGCAGACAACTGTCTGCGACAAGATGGCAGTAGTGAGGATTGGATATGACCCTTGGGAGAGTGAGACAGACCTCAAGAGAGGGGGGGGGCAATAGAGAAGATCGTGAGGGGAGGAACGTTGGTGTGGAGAGAGGGGAAGAGGACGAGAAAGAGGGAAGAGAGAGGGATTTAAATAGAGCAAACAGAAGGAGAGGAAGTGAGCATGAGGTCTCGAAGGCAGCAATGGGGGTGCAATGGTAGTGAATGATACAATAGTAACAAACAGTTCAATGGAAGTGAATTAGACAATAGTTTGTTACCTAAAAAACATTGATGATATTGATGCTTGAGTGTTAGCGCCTATCTTCCATTTGAGGTCACTTAGTTACAATGCTCACAGGCCTGTGTACTTTCTTTCCCGTTTGTCTATTGTTCCAGGCAGGTGTTTGGGTTGTTTGTCGCTCCAAGGCTAGGCATATAACCATCCACCTCTGCTCTTTCCCCTTTGCCTTCTTCATCCTCTCCCTTCATCCTCTCTCTTCTGCCATAACCCCGTCCAAATAGGCAAACGGTGGACTCCGGCTTTTACACTGCTTCTTTATTTATATATTCACGTTCCTTTCTGGTTTACGACGGGATCGAGGAAGCTTTAGTGGCTCCAACATGCCCCTCAGAATGTATGTCAATACTTCGCTTTCCATTCGAAAGCAACAGCTGAGCCGTCATCCACAAGATATACTCTCATTCTTATCCCCCACCATGGTCAAGCGGAAAGCACACTCCAAGCAGAGTGAAGGTCGCGTCACGTTCCTGAACGTTCAGTTCACCACGGGTGAGTCGCCGAGACCACGGGCCTATAGGGTCAGCGGTACTAGTTCCCACAATCTAAGCATTGATAGATTTTACAAGCCTCGCATCATCGCAGTACACATCTTGGTCGGATCGTATCGTTTCGCTATGATGCTCGCACCATGGGTACGATGCTCTAGAGATTCCGGTCTAAGACCATGTGGGTAGCTCACGAGCACCACAAGCATCCGGAAGTCAGGGAAGAGAGAGGGCAGAGACGGCATATTATATGCAAACACTGTGGAAAGCCTTACTGTCTGGTGGACGCTCAGAGACGTTATGAGACAAGCTATTCAGAGAACTCTAAGCGTCCCGTGGATCCGTGAAAGGTTCGATAACGCCACGAAGACCTACTTGCAGTTGGACGCGAAAAATGCCCTGCGTCGGCCACGAATTTATTCGGATAACCCGGTGATCTACCACCGTAAAATCTACTGCCGATATGGTCGTTGCAAGACAACGACAATAGAAAGACAGTCACGGACTTGCATACAGAGCATCCTCGGCTACTGTGGGACAACAACGTCGGAGACCCCATAGCTCGATTAGCGGGAGGATCAGCGTGCGGACGATTCACAGACGTCAGCTATGTTTTATTGTTGAAAACTTGTAAAGCGATTGTTGCAATCCGAAGAATCGCAAGCCCTAAATGATGTTACTAAAAGAACAAACCTTTCTTTTGCCCTCATACCATCGTTCTATCTACATCTTTTCTGAGTTCTACTATCTCAAAGCGATGGCACTGCTGAAATACGTATCACCGGCCATCATTACCCGCTGCAAGCTTTCAATAACCTTGTGGCACTCAACAAGGAAGCCAGCATTTCAAGGCAGCATGAAATAGCTTCGATGCCACGCGCGCTACACGCGACGGACCTGTCATCGTCGCTGACGTCAAAGCAACGAAACTTGTCGATCTCTATGAAATCGCAAGCCAAATCTCTTTTCTGGTAGCTTATGAACGCTTTGACATTCTGGGCCAAACTCCGCCGACGGGGCCTAACGGCAAGAAGGATCTCCGCAACCGATATTGGAGGGCAACGGGGTCTCGACTGAAAATCTGGGACGAAGAAGGTCGTGACACTGGACAGGAAGAGGAGAAGAGCAACGACGACTCGGAAGAGGACGCGGAGTAAATTCTACCTTTCCACTTTTATTGCTTTTTTCCTATGCATTGATTCAAGGGGTGGCAGCTCTGGCTTCTTTCTTTGTGCCCTCCTAATTGCTTTTTTCTCAAGCCAGTTTTCTTATCCGAGGAAAAGGCCTAGGATTAGGAGTTACAGCAACAGGATCTAACATGGATATTTCTCTTACTTGATTTTATTTCATTATCAACAAGACCCTGAATTATTCATTCGCACAGACTAACTCCCCACTTCTTCCCAAACCAGCCCTTCATCTCCCAACATCTCCGATCCCAAGGCAGCCGTTCCCCGTCCAATTTCATCGTCAGCGCGTGCCTAACATAAATATCCAACTTGAAATCCCACAGATCAAAAACCTGCGGCATAGCAAACGCCAACATGATAACCCTCTCCCTAAGCAAAGGCAACGGAATGAGATCCAAACTAGCATGGTGCGGAACAAGAATCTGGGCCATTGTCGGCTGTAGATGGATGGGGATGGACTGATTCAAGGTTGACGCTACTAGTTCCTGGGGGTTATCTGTTGGGGAGATAGCCCGGAAGAAGGGGGACATGTAGGTCTTGCGGCAAGTCATGAGTTTGTGAATATCAAACCCGAGACAGAGAGCGTTATTCAGCATTGCTAACAGAGTTTTGGAGTGTGGCGTTTGGAGCGTGTTTAGCATTGGGTCGGCGTTGAGGACGTGCAGGGTGTCTTTAAGTTGGAGGGTTCGGAGGGAGTTGATGACTAGAGTGCTATAGGAGGTCGACGCGGAGGGGGTTACGTTGATGAGTTGTTGACCTAGAGTAATTGAGGTTATTGGTATATATTGAAGAGAGTATAGTTAGTTAGGTCCGTAACTAACCTTCTTCCGAACGGAGGAATACGCTCAAGGCACTTGGTGAATCATCATCGACGAGAGCCTCCGGGCTGGAACCATCGAGGTCTTTCTCCGTGAGAGAGCTATTATTCTCCGATGACGACTCCTTGTCCTCGGGACTATAGTATAATTCAGGAACCGGGCGGTCATTAATATTCTGCGGCTCAGCAGCATGCGAGCCATTTCGATTCGGAGCATGCTGCCGATCCGTCATATAACCATAATGCACCGGAGAAGTAGAAGTAGGAGTCGGACCCGTTGACTTCGGCGCAAGGCGAATTGGTTTATGATTGCCTTTCACGGCAATCTTCTTCTGCTCTCTCTGTCTTTGTCCTGGGCCAAACCATCAGTCTGCGTTCCAAGTGAGGGGATGAGAATCCTACTCCACGCGCGCTGTGCAGCCCGATTCTGGTCTCTGCGGGCTTGGGTGAGAACCCGCTTCTTTGGCTCAGCGACAGGCATTATGTGTATGTATTATGGGCTCAAGTCCAATGGATAAATGGCTTATGGTCCTGGGGCCCCGAAGAACAAGAGGCCGGCCGAAGTGGCGACGCCTAAAATCCGCTAAGGCCGAGCTACCGAGCCAAGATATTTGCTTACGATCGGCCGGCCTATCAGACGGCGCTAACTATGAAGTCAGTAGAAGTATATAATAAAATGTAGGGCACGGCGTCATCGGAGCTCAGAACCCCTTCACTTCAATTCAATTATTATTGCTACATACTCAAGTCACCATACCATGTCCACCAAGAAAATCATCGCCATCGTCGGCGCCACGGGCACCCAAGGCTCCTCAGTCGTCCACACATTCCTAGATCTGCCCAATTGGCACGTCCGCGCTCTCACACGCTCGCCAACTTCCGAAAAGGCACAAACCCTGGCCGCCAAGGGCGCGGAGGTAATCCAAGCCGACCTAAACGACCTAGACTCTCTCTCTCGCGCCTTCAAAGACGCACACGCCATCTTCCTGAACACCGACTTCTGGGAACCTTTCCGCGCCGCGCTGGCATCAGGGAAGGACAGCGAGACGGCCTGCAAAATCGGGTACGACACCGAAGTGACAAATGGCAAAAATGCCATCTCCGCCGCGGCGAACGTCCCCACGCTCGAACGATTCATCTACTCGGCCCTGGGACCGATGAACCGCGCTTCGGGCGGGAAGTATCCACACTCACACCACTGGGAGACGAAGGCGTTCCTGGTAGACTATATCAATGACCAGGAGAAGGAGCTGGCGGCGAAAACCTCGTTTATCTATATCGGCGCATATCTGCTCAACCAGTTCTTGTACCCCAAGCCAAGGAAAGAATCCGGCGGGGCTTATGCGATGGTTATGCCAGCCAGTAAGCAGATGCGGATGCCGATTATCGATACTGCGAGGTCGACGGGTCCGTTCGTGCGCGCTTTGATTGAGGATGAGACGCCGCGGACGAAACTGCTGGCGTACGATGAGTATCTCACGATCGAGCAGGTCATCGAAGTTTGGGAGAAGGTTACGGGGAAGAAGGCTGCCTTCGTGCAGATGGGTCTGCAGGAACTACATGCGATGTCAGGTGTGCCGCTGGAGGTTCTGTATGGGCCTGCATTTGTGGATGAGTTTGGGTATTGTGGTGGAATTGACGGGGTGATTGAGCCGGCGCAGTTGAAGGCTAAAGTGAATGTGAAGACGTTTGAGGAGTCGATTAGGGGGTTGGATATGGATTTTTTGCTAGGACTTCAGGGTAAATAGGAGGTGGTATAGTTCAATGCATTCATTATTCTATGTGCAACCCCAATTCTAACCCGTTGGCCGCGCAGCAGTCAAAGGCGAATCAAGAGTCCCCCAGTCAGAGCTCCCATAGTCTAGCTCAAACTCTTCCTCTGGCGTGGAGCCCACATGCACCGCCGGCGATGAGATAGGACTAAGCGCCACGCGAGGCCGAGACTTGAAGACGCTTGCATAGTCAACATCTTCTTCGAGGAGCTTGTCCTTCGGCGTAGAGGCGCCAGACCGGGAGACCTCTGCTGGCGATGACTTTCGCGGCGTCTGGAATTGGTTGACCGGGAAAGAAGGTCGTGGGACCCGGCGTTTTCGGGCGTGCGGTTCTTGTGGAGGGAGTGATGGGAGTAGAGACATTGATTTGCGGGTACGTTCGACAAGGCTGTAGTTGGAGTTGGGCGGTTTGACGGGTTCCTGATCGGAGTGGTCGGAGGGAGAATGGCCGGGGTCGAGGTGAACGATTGGCACCTCGGATTGAGTGGACGATCCGTGGTCTGGAGAGTTTGCCATCTCAGGTGGACTTGAAGCTGGATCATCTTCTGCCACGGGGGATGATACTGCAGGGCGGGTAGGCTCCGTGAGATCCTGGAGCGGTTCTTCCACATAGTTCATAGCTTCCGCTAGTGGAGGAGTTGGTACACGATGCGATTTGCCGCTGATGTGAGAGATGGCTTCATTCACAGACGAAATCAGAGACTGATCTGAGTCTGTCAACACCCGTCGTCGATCCGTGGGCTGCCGGCCAGTCTTTGATAGACTTGCAACCGTAAGAGACTGATGGTCCCGAAAAAGTAATTGTGGTTCTTTGGGAACGGCATCTGTGGTTCTTGCACTGGCATTCTGTTCCTGTCGGATCGAATCATTGTACGCATGCCACTTGCGCAATCGATTTCGCTGTCGCAACACCCGGGCCTCCAGATCCATCACCAGATCTTGTTTCAGGTTGCCACTCAGACCCTCCGCAGTGGAACCCGTTGCACGCGCCCAAGCCTCCGAGAAAGGAAGTTCCAGGAAAGCATCAGTGCTGCTTTGCGCTCCTCCCTCCAGCAGAGCACTCGCCCATTCCTCACTTCCCAGCCAGTTCGCCCGCAGCTCACGCTCCAGACCCTCCGAATTCGCATGTTCAGCACCATGTACAGGCAGCGTTTCCGCACGCTGGGCAAGTTCAACTTTCTTCGCATCAAGCAACCGCGAGAACTGCTCATATACCTCCCGCACACGCGCGCGGTGCTCCCCCACCGACCCCAGAGACACTTGGTGAGCAAGAATGAGCGGCACAAGATTCTGATAGTCTGCCGGGGAGATATTTGTAGCTGTAGCCAAGTTCAAGGCGGGAGTCTGGAAGGTCTCCTCGACGGAGCCCGCCATGACTTTGCGCAGAACGACCGTCGAAAAGACGGCCAGGAGCTCGTCGAATTTTTCGCCCTTGCAATCATCCAGCATGGTCTTACGGAGAGTAACCTCACGCCCGAGCTCGCCATTTTTCTTTAATTCGGACAGGACCCGGAAGAGGGCTGCGCGGAGGTTGACGGATTGGAGGGGTTCGAGAGGAGGGAAGAAGGGCCGGAGTTTCTATTTGGTCGGTTAATATGTTTCTTTGCTGCGCACACAATTTTCAGGAATATACATTCTGCGTCTCCTCCAAATCCCAGATAGCAAACAAGTGGAACAGAGCCCATTCTACTAGACGGATGCGCTGTCGGTGGTTCTGGGAGGACGGGGACAGCGTTCGCAGGCTGATGCCGGGCCAGTCGGGCTGTTGGTCGAGCTGTAGTAACCGAAGGTTGCGAACAAAAACCGTCAGATGCGAGGGAGGTGACCAGTTCAGCGGCTTTGGCCTGGCCCTGGAGGCAGCCATGGCGGTTAACAATTATTCAATGGGGAAAGATAGATTGGGTAGATATTGGGGTAAACAATGTGTTTGCACTGTTTGTTCTTCCCAACCTATCTCTTCCCAAAACAACTCTTCCTTGCCTCATGTTCAGGACAACCGCCGCCATGGGCTCCAACGACCAGTCTCAGTCTCCTTGGACCCCCCAGACTGGTAAGAATCTCCATAATTGCCCAGACCCTGTCACTAATGTCCTGCCCAACAATAAGTGCTAGCCACACTCCCCACCCCACTAGAAGAGAACTCCACCTCGCCCCTCCCCTTCTTCCACCTGCTCGAGCGCCTCAAGACCACCAAGCGCGAAGGATGGCGACGGTTCGGGATCGCGAACGGCGAATCCATCTCCGACCATATGTACCGCATGTCCATAATGACGATGATGGCCCCGCCGTCACTCGCCGCGCGCCTGAACATCCCGCACTGCACGAAGATGGCTCTGATCCACGACATGGCCGAGTCGCTCGTGGGCGATATCACGCCCGTCGATAAGGACGTTACCAAGGCCGAGAAGGCGCGCCGCGAGGCGGCCGTCATGGACTATATTACTTCCACTCTGCTGGGCAATGTGCCTGGCGGGCCATTGTCCGGCGCGGAAATCAAGCGCGTCTTCCAGGAGTATGAGGATAACGAGACGCTTGAGGCGTGTTTCGTGCATGATATCGATAAGATGGAGCTGCTGTTGCAGATGATTGAGTACGAGCGCTCCCACCACGTCGACCTGTCTGAGTTCGAGCATGTCGCCCGCCGCATCCAGCTGCCTGAGATCCAGGCCTGGGCGGCAGACGTGGTGCGCGAGCGTGGAAAGCAACCTGTGGGAACGGGCAATGGCAATGGAACTGCCTGATCTTTTTTCTTTTTGTGGCGTTTGTTTTTTTGGATTGGCCTTTTGGTGATCAGGGTTCTTCTAGATACCACGATAGAGAGCAAGAGCGCAGGCTCACGGTGTCACGGCTGTGACAAGGAATACATACATGACACGACGGATGATCATGATCATGATCTACTCTATGAAGATAATATAATAGATTGTAAATCAATCACTCAATCAACCGGCTCCTTCTCCATCTCCCTCGCAAGCATCTCCGCCTCGGCACGCATCTCCTGCTCCCCACGCGGTTTCCGCCCCTCATTATCAACAGCAGGAAACCTCGACCTACTCCGAACCCCTTCCTCGGCTTCATCCGCAGAAGTATCCGCGCCAGCATCCCTCAAAGCCCGCGCCATATCCCTCTCCTCCTCATCAAGCAAATCATATACGGCATCCATGCCCCCGGCATGATCCAGATCCGCCGCCCGACGCGGGATAATATGCGCATGCACGTGCGGCACGCTCTGTCCAGCATGCACGCCGTCTTGGACGGCGATGTTCAAGCTTGCCGCGCCATAGACTCGCTCGACCATTCGGCCCACGCGCCGGACTGTTAGGAATAGGTCGCTGGTTTCGGTGGGGGAGAGGTCGGCGACGCGGGGGACGATGCGCCGTGGGGAGACGAGGACGTGGCCGGGGAGGATGGGTTTGAGGTTTACCAGGGCGAAGGTGAGTGGTGTTGTGTGGAAGACCTGTTGATTCTCTGTTAACCGTGGCTGCAACGAAGATAACACCCGGAGGGGACTGGTTCCGGGGTCGATGGGTAAATCGATATTTACAGTACCTGGGGAGTGACGAGGAAAGGACCAAAGTGGATGGGCGTAGCGCCCTTAAGGACGGACATGGTGGTGTTAGTTGTTGTGGACATGGGGAGGTGGAAGACGGAGGGTGAACAGGAGATAAGATCTTATCATCGCTATCAAGACAATGGATATCATATTGACGCCTATCCCAGAGAAAGAATATCGTGAGCTATATTACAGTAGATACACATGGAAGGAACCCCTCCTCAAACTAAGACTGTTTGGTATCGGCCTCTGTATCGGCCCTGGTCTCGGGCTGGGTCTCGAGCTCTGCCTTGGGCTCCGGTGCAGATTCGGGTGTTGCTTCAGTCGTAGCATCTGCAGAGGTGACTTCTTCCTTGCTCTCTGCCTCTAAAGGTGTGGGCTCCTCCTCTGGCTCTGTCTCTAGCTTTGTCTCTGGCTCCTGAGGTTCTGGTTCCTCCGAGCTCGTTGGCTCTTCAGATTGCGATGGCTGCTCTTGCGTCTCAGCAGCCGGTTCCTCGGTCTTCTCCTCTAAACCATCTGTGGACTCCGCCGCAGTCTTTTCGACCGGAGACTTCTCAGTCTCCTCACTTTTATTCACATTCTCCGTCTCCGGCGACTCAGACGGCTCCTCCGGGGCTTCCTGCACCGGTGATGGCTTTTGCTGGTTATCATCTTGATCCTCAGCACTCTCGGTAATAGTCGTCACGCGCGATCCCGTCGACGGACTATGCTTGTGTCGTCGTGTAGTGGCGCCGGTACTGATAGATGGGTCCATGTCATCCACGGCCAAATTGACGGGAGTCTCATCATCTTTGCGTAGAATCGTTAATCGTCGGTTATCCATAGTAGATTCTTCGGTGGCAGCAGGCTGAACCGCGTCGGGGCCCTCTGCCTCAGGAGGAATCGTGTAGTTGTCATCCGGGATGAGGTTGTACATGTCGCAGACGGTCTTGAAAAAGACATACAGACCGTCATGGCCCTCAACCTCCCAGAAAACATCCCGGTGTTGGAACCACGCATGCGCGAAGATGCGATACAGTCGGCGGAAGATGTTGGTGAGATGCCTCATGCTGGCCTGCGGGCCGCCTGCAGCCTCGTTGCCCAGCGTCAGCCGGCTAGGGAAGTACTTGGGGGAGGTGAGGGTGTTGGTCGCCCAGTCGAGAGTATGGCAGCAATAATCAATAGCGCAGCATGACTTGGGCGGGTCGTGCACGGCGCAGAGGTACTGCCATTCGGACGCCCGCATTTCGGGGCATGTCTGCGACGAGCAGGGCGGGTTCTCGGCGAAGAAGGCAATGAGGAGGTTGTTGACTTTCATGGTGAGAAAGCGGCACAGTTCGTAGAGCCAGAGGGATCGGTCGACGCCCTCGGGCGGCTCGGCCAGCTGGATCGCGACCTCGCGGGTGATCGCGACTACGGTGTCTGATCCTTCGGGCTTCGTGAAGTGATGGTACAGGGCTTTCAGGTGCTCCTGGAGCTGGAAAGGCGAGTCGAGCTGCGGGAGTCAGTTACAGGATCTGTTATGGGCTGGTCTTCCTTGTCCTACCTGCGACAGCGGAATCAGCGGCGGACCAAACGCCATGTCACCCGCTTTGGTGCCCGGGCGGATCCTGCGCGTCGAGCCATCATCATCACCGGGCGATGAGCCCAGCAAGTTATCAGCGTCTTTGCCAAAGGAATCACCGATGGATGGCGACTGCGGGCCGATCTGAACCTCGGTGAACGGAGGTGGACTGGGGAGGCGCGGGGAGCTGGACGGAGAGACTCCCGCAGCAGTCATTGCGAGAGGAGGCGAAATGAAAAGAAAGTGTGAAAAGGAAAGAAAAAGAACCGGGCCCTGTGGCGGGCGTGGAAGGAATGGAGAACAGGGACAGCCGGAGTGTTTTGTTGATGGGGAGACAGCAATCGAGTGAAGCTGTGATTATATGCTTAGGTAATATTCCAATGTCATTCCAGGTCCGATGCTGGATCGCCTCTTTGGACAATCCTACACCATGGATGACGAGGAGGCACCCCCGGAATTGGTCGATGTGTCTGCACTACCACCAGACCAGCTGTATCGGGGCCTGTCCTTGGAGGAAGACGTTCCCGCAAGTCGAGTACCGATCACCATCGTTACCGGTATATGCGAATCGATCCAACACCCGAATAGATGCTAATACTGTGCGTGCAGGATATCTGGGAGCGGGAAAGACGACCCTGCTGAACTATATTCTCACCGTGAAACATGGCAAGAAGATTGCTGTGATCATGAACGGTTGGTCCCGATATATATCCTCTGCTGGAACCCAAACTAACATAACGCTAGAATTCGGAGACTGTAAGCTGGTGCAATTGGACCTAGAGTATAGCTCTAATACCTCTCTGCTGAATAGCAACGGACATCGAAAAGCCCTTGACCGTGAACGAGGGCGGCCAAGAGGTCACTGAGTGGATGGAGGTGGGCAACGGATGTATCTGCTGCTCCGTCAAGTAGGCCATCTCCTTCTTTACCCCTGTCTCAGTGATTGATTTCATCCTAGAGACTCGGGTGTCATGGCCATCGAATCCCTAATGGAACGCCGCGGCACATTCGACTACATCCTGCTCGAAACAACCGGCCTCGCTGACCCAGGTAACATCGCCCCGCTCTTCTGGATGGACGAGGGCCTCGGCAGCTCGATCTACCTAGACGGGATCGTGACTCTCGTCGACGCAAAGAACATCTTTCATCTGCTGGACGAACCCGCACCGGAAGAAAAAGCCGAAGCCCACGATGCAGGCCAGCAGCACTCCGGCCACGCGCACGCCGGGCCCGTGCTGTCCATGGCGCATATGCAGATCTCGCATGCGGATGTGGTCATCCTCAACAAGGCGGATCTGGTCAGCGCGAAGGAACTAGAGGCTGTAAGGGACCGCGTGGCGGCGATTAACAGCGTCGCGAAGATCCATGTTACGGATCATAGTCAGACGCCGCAGATCGAAGGCGTGGTGCTGGATCTGCATGCGTATGATCATCTAGCGGATTTGGATTTTGGGAAGAAAGGGCATAGCCATATGGACCCGGTGAGCTTTTCTGGTTGTGGGGATTTTTGTTTCTTTTGCTGAGACTTCTAGGCCATCTCCACAATGGCCATTATCACGCCGCCCATTGCTGCAGACAAGGTTCCGCGCGTGGATGAATGGCTGCGCTCTATTCTGTGGGAATCGACATTCCCTGCGACCAGCACGTCTACAGCCCAACCCAACGACTTCGAGATCCATCGGTTGAAGGGGATCCTTGCTCTGGACGACAGGTCATCTAAGATCATCCAGGCGGTCAGGGATGTGTTCGAGATCCGCGATGCAGAGGA